TTCAATTTATGCTTTTTAAATTGAATTTATAATATCTGGTACTGTTTGTTATTGGCTAATTTTCTAAAGCCTGGTTCTTTTGAATTTTAAATTCAAAGATTTGTACCCAAAATTGCGTGCGAACGGGGTTGTACTTGAGGATTGCAATTTTAATGCCATAACTTAAACCGTCCAGAAGCTTGTAGTTTAGGAGATATCGACGGTTGTATGAATCTTCCAAAAAGTCTAGAAACTTAGATTTTCGAAATAATTTTCAATGTGTTGTACCCGTACTTGCAAGCTATCTGGGTATGGTTTGAGGTTAAAGTGCTTTTGCATAAGTTTGGCTATATTGCAAAAGCTCAGAAACTATATTGTAGAAGATTTGGAAGATTTAACGGAGCCAGTTTTTTTTAAAACTTAAAAGAAAAAGTTTTTTTATATGTTTTTTTTGCGTTCATTATGAGACCTTGTACATACATGGTACAGGCTGGAGGAAGTGTGGTGTATTTAGCAAGTAAACATTTCAACACCGGTGCATCAAAATAATTGCGTGGTTGTTTATCGATTGAGAATTTTTTAAAATTTTTTATAGTTTTTCTGGTAGTCAAAAACATACATACCTAGGTTAGGAGTTTTTGGGTTATATGGCCTTTTTTCTGTCCTCTCCGATTTTCATGTCTAATAACTACTAACAGCGAGTTTTTCAATGTAGGTGGGTGATTGAAAGGAGAATTTTCACTTTCTAGTACGCTATGAAACAACTGTAACTTCGATACCTCAATAGCTTGCTTGAAAAAACTCTTTTTTCACGGACCGATTCCGACTTTCAAAAATTTTGAAAGCTTAATTCTCAATTGCCTGGGATCAGTTTTTAAAATTATTCGCGAATCGTTGCAAGATCTGAAAACAACCTAAATCATTTAAAAATTGTGTTGCCATAAGCTTGCTTCAAAACAAAACAAAAAAAATGAAACAATAAAATCCTAGGTTCTAAAATCGCCAGAAATACCTTGCATCAGGTCAACTCTTTTTGCACCATCTTTCGGGAATCTAAGGTGATCCATTAAGGACTATCTTGAGTCAATCTAACCTAAGCTAGATCAACTCTTAGATAGACCATCTTTCTAAGGATCACCATAAAGGATCACCTTCATTCAAAGGTTTTGCTGAGAATATATTTTGATAACCGATTCACTCTATGAAGCAATTTGAACTATTTTCAATCGGTTACTATTTTCAAACTGATTCGAGCAATGAAAACTCCATGAAAGATTTCAAAAATTTTTGCTCGAGGTCGCTTGATTAAAAAAAATCATTTTTCGCTAATAGACTTTTCAAAAATTTGAATACCTGAATAGTTTTCATTGAAAAACTGCCAATGAGAATCAGTTCGCCGTGAAATAACTTATATTTCTAACTCGATCTTTTGGTAATCCGATTCAGTCTATTTCCTTACTTCAATTTTATTGTTTCGAAAGTACTCAGATTGCGATATGATTTGAATAGCTTGCATAGAATGCCATCAGTTTTCGTGAATTGCTTCTTTCTATGCTATAACTTAAAATTTCTAAACACCTGAAGCCTCGAATTGCTTGATTCACCGATTCACACAATGAAAGCAGTTTTTAGCAAATTGGAAGCAGTTTTATCAGAAATTGCACTGCTTAACTGGTTGGCTTAGGAAAGCTTAATCTTTGGTCAATCGTCTCCTGGCATCGTTTTTGTTCAAAAGATAAAGTTTAAGTGCTTGCTTCGCTCTTAGAAAAATGGAGAGTTTTTAAAGTTTCATCGCTTGAATAGCTTGCTTGGAAAATTTTTTCTTTCGATTTTTTTCAACGTTATTTAGGCATTCCAAAGTTTCAGCGATCGCTTAGCTTGCTAAAAGAAAGTTCTGCGAGTGAATTAAGGTGAATTACATTAAAATTCATATAGATTGTATTCAAAAGTTTCCATGTTTCATTCCTTGCTGAGAAAAACTCAAATTTGCGAACTGCTTCGCTCTTTTAAACAACTGGAAATTTTAAAGTTTATCATCGCTTGAAGAGCTTGCTTGGAAAAATAACAAAAATTTCGAAGATTTGTTCTATAAAAATTAGAAATTTCAAAGTTTTAGCACTTGACTAGCTTGATTAAAAAAATCTATTGACGCAATGATATATTTTGAAAATCTTCGAAGTTTTATTGCCTAATTAGCTTGCTTATTAAAATTTGAAGCTTTTGTGAACCTAAATAAAAAGTTTCAAAGTTTCGAAGATCTTAATTTGTTTAGATTGCCATAAATTTTGTCAGTTTTTGGGATTCAATTCTTGCTACATATAACTTTCAAAAATTCACGCGTAATCTATCTATCTATTATATATTAAAATGCGGGCTTCACTATCTCGCCATGTTAAAGCTTTTTCAACGTATTATTTTTGCATGTTTAAGCTATATCGTATATTGCAATGGTTAAGAATTCTTTTCGATTTTCTAATTTGATTTTAAGGGCTATTTTACCGAGTTTAAATTAAGCAGTCCAATATCGAATTAGGGGTTGCGAATTTGGCCTCCAATTTTGAATGCCCGAATCATTTAAACTAACGAGATAAGACGATTTTTGAGTTTTTCAAAAATTTTCAGAAGTACACTAAAAGTTTGCAGATGTTTTTCCCAAGATATGCGGTTTTTCATGAGCTGTCGAAAAACTTCGAAGCACCGAAGGTGCGTTAAACGCTAGTACAATGTGAATTTTTTCTAACACTTGAATGCTTGAATGGCTTGCTTCACCGATTCACGCAATGAAATGACCTTAAAATTCCATAGTTTCTTGCTTGGATAGCTTGCAAAGAAAAACTGCAGTTTTTAGTGAACCTATGCACGCTATATATTAATATCAAAAATTGAAAGAACATCACTAGCGTAGCTGGCTGAGAAAAGCATCATTGTTTGCGATACGATTCACGCTGTATTATAAATTCAAATATATCAAAAGTTTTTTTTTTGCTGGAATGGTTTGTTCACAAAAGTCTTTTATTTTGCCAATTGACTCTTGTTAACGATTGTGTTGAAAATTTGTGATGTTTCATCGCGTGCTGAGAAAAACAGCAAAGTTTTAGGCGAACTGAATAACTATGAAATAAATTTTCAGCCCATGAGCCCATGAGTTTTTTCAAAAGCTTCAGTCCTTTGTTGCCCTGCTCAGAGAAACTTCAGATTGCGAACCACTGCGTTCTTCTTTTTACAAGTGTCATCGCTTGATTAGGTTGCATGGAAAAATTTTCGCAAACAGTTTCATGCTATGAAATTTCTTTGAAAATTTTGAAGTCTTATTGCTTAATTAGTTTGCTTGAACAATTTGTGAACCGAATCATCATATAAAACAGCTTCAAAGTTGTGAACATCTTCATTTGAATAACTCACCTAAAATGATGTCATTTTTTTTGAACAAAGTATGCAATATTTTAACTCAGTTGTTTTAAAATGTCAATATGATTAGCTTGTTTTGACTTGGTTTTTTTGCGTTCTTATTAATGCTATAAATAATTTCTGAAATTTCGAAGTTGATGACTTGAGTAGCTTGCTCATAATGTCACATCTATTTTTGCAAATCGTCACACGCCAATATATGACTTCAAATGTTTCAAAAGTTTGAATGCTTGAATGGCTTGCTTCGAATAACTTGGATCAATTGAGCAATATCCCCCCCCCCCGTAATGATCAATTGAGCTATCTCTCCCCCCAGCAAAAACGAATAAACTCTTCAAAAAGACGTCAGCAAACGGAAGTAGATGGATGTTTTGTTTATAGCACGCAATCATTTGACCGAATGAAGTTTTTTTATATGAGTCTCGAGAAAATTTTGAAAAAATAACTCGAAGTTTATGAAGAAAAATTTTTTTTTGCAAATTTTTGTATAGGCGACCATAGCCTCATCGAGGAAAGCGATTTATCAGGGTTGGTGCTCTAGCCTTGTATCTGAATAGCAAAAACGGTTCTCCGCAGCACCTTAATATTGTACACAAAAGCTTTTTGTCATTTTAAGAAAGAAAAAAGTCGCTTTTTATGCCTGATTTATTGATTCTTTTTTCTATTTGAATGAAACTTTTGAGCTTTGTTATTGTAAATTTTGGCTTTCCACAGTCGTTGGAAAATATGGTTTATGATTTCAGGTCATTCAAACTATTGATATGGTTTTCAAGTGGTTATAAACATGTCTCAAGTACCTATTGAGCTATCTCCCCCCCCCCCCCCCCCCACGCGAGAATGGGGGGGGGGGGAGATTGCTCAATTGATCCAATTACTTTAAATCTGACAAATTGTCTGGTATGGAGTTTTTTCATTTTTTTAAATCGCTATATATATAAAATGACTTGCTTAGAAAATTAAGTTTTTGCCAATCGATGTAAGGTATGAAATACCAAGAACATTTTAAAAGTTTCTTAGTTTCTATGGCTTGCTTCAAAAGACTTCTGACTTTTTCGAACCGATTCACGGAATGTAATTGTTTCAAAAGTTTCTAAGTCTTATCATTTGAATGGCTTGCTTCGGAAAGCTTTGCGAACCGGTTTAAGCTGAATTACGTTTGAATTTTTTCAAAGATTCATTGCCTCAATGAATAGCTTGCCTCGATTTACCTAAATTTTTGCAAATAGTTTTACGATATGGAAAAGCTTGAAATTATGCAAATTTACATTGCAGAAAGAGTTTGCTCAGAACAATAACTTTTTGCGAACCGATTGATTGATAAAGGACGGGCTTGCTAGTAATTCGCAACGGCATTAGCAAGTAGGCAACGCTTGCTTTGGGTGTGCGCTGAGATTCGGCTCGAGTGATTTTGTGCTTCTGAACGCACTTTCTCGCTCTATCTATAATGAATTGTCGCCTATTTCGAATTTTTGCGTCTTACGAGTTGTCGCCTCGCGGGTTTAACTGTGAATCATCAATGTCCGCTGGCTCTATGTACTAGAGTGGGAAAAACATCTGAATGTCAAGTGGTCGATTGTTACTAGTGGATATTGTTTTAATTGATTTTCAGATGTAGATGCCTGTGCGTTCGTCAGCACCAACCAAACAACCCCAAAAGTCCCTTAATCGATCCAGATCTAACAGTCCTAAGTTAAGGAGGTCCCGGAGCTCAGAGGATGTCCAGGCCGCCACCAGTCTACCGCCGTCTGTAGAGGGTCCTTTGCGATGCTTTTTGCAAGTGGAGGTATCGAAGCTGATTTTGTTGACGCCGACTGTTGTGGATAAACCGACTGTCCGCCTGAAATGGTGGGGCGAGAAACAGGAATCACGTGGCACTGTATTCAGACCAAAGGTGTTCAGGAACAAGACGGAAATTGCAGCCACAGATTCAAATGGTAAGAGTTCCTTGAAATGCAATCGGAGTGTTTGCATTTTAAGTTCTATTTTTGTGTGCCAATTCGAACAATGTTTTTACTCGTCATTTTTTGTTTCGAAATCAAATTGGGAGTGAATTCAGCTGTTTAAGTGTTTTTTTTTCACTTACAGCAATCAGTAACCACAAATAACCCCATATTGAGGCCCTTTCAGTCCAGATTGGGTCGATATCAAACTTTTTCCAAAAACAGTTCGTGTCCAGAAAATTGGTGCATAATTTAGAGCGGAATGTGCATGAATGTAAGTCACTCTTCATTAAGTAATTTTCACTTATAACAACGAAGTTATAATTATGTAACCTTCTTTAGGCTATTAAGGAAGCTTTAATGTTTGCCCAGCTCCTCTTTTGCCTTAATTAGATGAAAAAATGTAATCTGATTTTTTTTATTTCACATTTTTTGTCGACGGCGGTCGCAACATTTTTTGCAACTGGCTACTTGGTTCGTATAGTTTTTGCAAGCATAGTGGTGCAATGCCTATGTAACTACGAAGTTTTTTAGGATTTTATCTTTAATATCAGCTCTGATATCTCTATTTGCCCTTGTTTTAGGAATGCTAATTCCCCCTCGAACTACCTCAATGTTTCCTGTGAAGTCAGGACAGACGCAGATTCTGAGCTATCTTCGTGACATGTCAACTCTTTCTTTCGAACTGCATTGTGGCAACGGTGATTCGAATGCCATCGCGAGGTGCAACATCCACCAGATTACGCAACTGTCATTCGAGAATCCGATCTCGGGTTGCTTCGCCATGTACGGAGCCGATTCGGAGAAAGTTGCGCAGCTAAATGTTGCTTTATGCTTCAAAGATTTCGACAAAGGTGTTCTCAGACCAAACCCAAATGCCAGCCAGAATTCTGTCGATCTGAAAGCAAGCCTACAAGAGCAAATAGCTGAAGGGTTTCAGAACTATGGTTTGACTATGAACGCTTATAAATCTGCAGCCGAAAAACCAGCTGAAGAGCTTTCAAGAACCTTGGCCTCGGAAGATACGAGAAACAGTGTAGATGATTTGATATCGTTTCTGATTCAGCGCGGATCTAACTTGAGAGAAGCATTAGTACAGAACGAGGAACAAGTGATTTGCGATCATAATTCTGTATCCAAAATAAACGCACCATTAAGCTCTATCAAGAGTAACTCAGTGCCGAACTTCGCAGCACGACCAAATGAGTCGCTAGATGTCACAAAATCAAATGATTTTGGAAAAAATTTGGAAGATCGTGATTTAGTAAGGTCGAGCTTGAACTTTCACGATTTAGTTTATAAGTTCGACAAGAAACGACTAGAAGGGTTAGCTGCTAAAAGTAACATTGAAGGATCGAATGCAAACGACGTCACAATTTCCGATGATGAAAATACTAAACTGAAGAAATTTGGTGTTGATGATTCAAGTGACTCTGACAATCCGATACGTGACTCTTCGCTTGTTCGTAGAGTACTCAGGCGAACTGGAGGGTTAATTTCAACATCTGCCACGAGCACAGGAACCGATTCCAGTGAGACTGAATCTGAGCTAGGGCGGAAGGCGAAATCTACAAAGAAAACCAAAAAAGGCAAATTGAGGAACAGAAGCAAGAGCGCGAGTAGTGATTCGTCTTTTGAATCAGAAGTTGAAGTGCTGAGAAAACAGGAGGTAATGTTACTCGAGGAGCTGAATAGCAGCTCAAAAGCTGACAAACGATTCAACAGGCCCGATTTCTCGGAGCAGAATGGTGCTAATGGTTTCTCAGATGACGATGAAGATTGGACGCTTTCAATCGAGCGGTTCAATTTGCTTCAAAGTGTCAGCAAAGCAATGGTTGTAATCGATTCATTTACAACTTCGGCAGGCAGTACAGCATCGGCTCCAGGTTTGAAGTTACCTCCTAAGGTTCCATTTATCTCAAAACATGCAGAATACTACGTGGAGTTCTCGTTCCCAACTTGCATGCCGCATCATCGAATCGAAATGAAGGAAACTAAAGTCAATTGCAGATCTGCAAACCCCGATAACGGGAATGTTACTTTCTCCCATAGGAGTGTATTCCCGCTTTGCATCGGGGCTAAAGGCAAAAGTGTTTTGAAAGAGCTGTGGACACAAGCTATTACGTTCCACTTGTACCTGAAGACGTCCAAAAATGCATCAGGAGCTAAATTGGTGGGTTCAGGTGCGTTTAAATTGAAAGACGTTCTCGAAGCGGATTTTTTTTCGAAATCAATTTCGATGCCGCTTAAGAAGTACTTTGCATTCAAGAAGAAAAAGCGAAAGCAGAACAAAAAATTGGATTCGCCTCACGTGGTCGGAAGTTTGAAGTTATCAGTTGAACTGACTTCGGATTTGCACGCGTTTACGTCTAAAGTAAATGAGCTAAAGGTCAAGGAAGCTTCAAGAAGCAAGCCCTTAATGATATCTTTGAAGGAAGCGAGCACGAGTGAGCGAAATCAGGTAGTTGCTGAAAACATATCAGCGAAGAGCACTGCTGTAGTAAATGTGCTTCCAAATATCAGAGTCGACCGAGAGTTTGATCCTCGAGTAGTGCAGCTGAAGCAAGGAGCTTCTCAAAAGATGGAAGAAAATCATCAGGTCAACTTCGCCCAGAGTTCTGCTGAGGAAGGAGAGGCGATGTTCTTTTTCTTAACCATAGGCCAATCGAATCTAGAGAAATATGTATGCAAAAAATACAGTAGCCTAAACGTCTATGCGATAGCTCGTGTGTTCTTCTCAGATGATTGGATCAAATCCGACATAAGCTGGGGATCAGATACTAGTCCTCACTTCAATGTGTGTTTCACAGTTCCATTTGTTCTTACACCCTCCATATTGCAAAGAATGAAAAATAATTACGTGATCATTGAAGTTTGGAACAAACTGACCACGGCAGGAAACGACGAGCTCATAGGTCTAGTTAAAGTGCCGACAAGTCAGTTTCATCTATCATTTGCTAACCAGAGACTGATGAGCGTGTTGAGGGAAGCGCATTACCCAGTAGTAGCTGGGGATAACACATTTCCAATTGTTCACCCGAGTGATATGAACAAAAGTGTGCGCGGGAAAGTAGCGGTGACATTGGCGATAGGATCGTCAGATCAAGTTGCGGCGCTGAAACACATCAAAATGACATCGGAAAATGTTTCGTATGCCAACAAGTCAGTGATATCAACATCAACTGATAACGCCCATGTCTTCCCTTCCAAGGAGTTGAATGAGCATACATTCGAAGTTATGGTTAGCGGGCTGAAAAGTTTCAATCAGTTTTCAGACGATGTCCACGGAGAGGCTGATTGTTATGTTCAGTACACTTTTCCAGATCAAGAGAACTTCAATTTCTTTCCCCAACAGGGCTCAAGCAATTCAGGGCCATTTGCTCTGAGGAAGTTCAAAACATCGCCGACGCTATGCGTACCAGATGTGGTCTTTCATGACGTTATGCATCATAAGTTGGTTTGTCCAAACAACTTGTCGTTGCCCAGTCAGCTCCTAAAGGTAATAGCAGCGGACCCAGAAAGTGAAAAAACACTGAAGTTCGAGGTATGGACAAGACATTATCACCCGAATTTGCGCGATCAAATGGTAGCCACTTGTCAATTACCTCTTCCGAAATTGTGGTCACTCATTACGATGCATTCTCATACCAAGTACCAGCCTTCTTGTCAAAACTTTGTCCTACCGTTGACGAGATCCTCGTGCGTAGATTTGGAGCAAAGTTACAGCGGACAGGATAGGTCGAAGCAACAAGTTCCACATTGTGGTGTCTTAGAAGCTACAGTAAGCTACAAGGTGGCAGACTTTGGCTGTGCTTCGACTCTTAAAGGTCTAGGCATGAACACACAAGTTGTTCTGAGGATGAATGTCATCAGAGCTTGCGGCTTAGAAGAAGCGGCCATTTACGCTGCTCAGAGGCACCCAAATCTAGAGTACTACTCCAAAGTTGGACTGAATTCTTTCTTTAAAGTTTCATTGTCATTCGCAGATCCGATCGAAGCAAGAACGACTAGATCGGTTGCGCAGTCATTTGCACCCGAGACCGGATCCGTCATGGAAATCCCACTTCCTGTTTACTTCAAAGGTGAGAAGACCTCACATGTTGTTAGTTTGGCCGAGCGATTGGAGAATGAGTTCTGTATCATAGAACTATGGCATCAGCAGTCACCTTCAAAGGCGGAAGAAGTTCTGCATTACACGGAGTCAAAGAAGGACTGCCTCCTGGCATCATGCTCAATTCCTTTGCGAGATATTCTCTACCAACATAGCGGAATTCGAGGCTGGCATGCATTGCACCCGGTCGATGAACATGAAGGTTCAAGGAATGACTGCACAAGCGTTGGAGGCGTTGACGTACAATTAGCTTTCGTTCGAAACGAGGACCAGGAAAAGGTCATTCAAGCTGGTCGAGGGTGTGGTTGGAAGGAACTGTATGATCCAATTAGCCCGTTAGTGAGTGCCCAAAAGTATCGAATAACGGTTTGCTTGTCGGAACTGAGTTGTAATAGACGTGATTTCTCTTCGACATTGTTAAGTCAAAATAACGTACAGTCCAGGCGTAATATGAAATGCTACCTTAGATATAAATTCTACGACAAACCGGCCATATGTACTCACTCGGTATCACTGAGGCACTTGGGAGAAAACTCGTTCGTGGCAAAGTTCGATTTTCGAGAATCGGTTTCCCTAGAAATGTCAGAACCATTGAAGTATTACCTGAAAGAAGAACCATTAGAGTTTCAACTCTGGGCTGCAGGTGACGTGAGTGCCCCCAAAGGTCACAGAAGAGACAAGTACTTGGGAAGTGCCTATATGATGCTCACGCAATTAGCACGCAGTGTAAATGTGAGCACGATAAGCGAGAGTTGCACGGTTTACAAACCTGGTGCAAGTTATATAGGAATGACCCAGCTTAGAGCTTCAATTACTTTGGAACAAAGTTCAGCTACTGGAGACGTTAAATACGTAGACGATGACGTAGAACTAAACTCGGATTCAAATTCAGAGGACGAGAAAGAAGATCAAATCGACCTAACAAATACTTTCAAAGCACGAGTTGAAATTGATCGCGCGTATCACTTGGAATTGTACAATGGCGCATTGGCTAGCGAAATAAATACTGCCAAGGTTTCATCAGATACTTCTAGTTTGTATTTTACCTTTCAAATGGTTCCCGACTCGAAACCAGTGACGACGACCGCGGTAAATTTCGAAGCTTCGCCAAAATGGAACTTCCAAACTGACACCTTCTTGTCATATGACTACCTGAAGAGTAGCAACCCTTTGCTTCTGAAGTTGTGGCTACAAATGAAAAGTGGAATTGGAAAAACAACGGAAAACGGGGACTGCGACAAAGTGTTCGGATTTGTAGCTGTTGATCTTTCCCCGCTCAATTCAGGCTTCTCGCATGTAAGTGCATCCATTCGGCATTAGACGGGTTGTATCAGATGAAATACATGATTTCTGTTTGATCTTCCGTTAACGCTGTTCGATGTAATTTTCGGTTATCTATCTTATCTGGACATGATTTAATTGGCGTTTCAGTTGGCAATTGTTTAAGTGAAAGGTCGCGTTGTTTTTTTTTCAGGAAAAGTTTTTAAGTTTGTTTAGGCACAAATTTACTTTTTCGCGGATTGACTTTTGGTTTCTTTTCAAGTGTTTAATTTCCTTTGTTATAAGGAAGGTAAACTCGACTATCGAACAGCAAAAACCTGATCGACTTCTATTTTCGAAATTGGAGTTTAGTTATCAGATTACCCAGCGAAATGAAAATTTTCCTTTAGATCATTTTTCTCAGGTTGAATTAATAAAGAGTAATGAACGTATTGAAGACTCTTATATAGGTCTTGTGAATTTTTTTGTTTTTTTTTCATTAAAAAATCTTAAAATGCTCTAATAACTACACACAGAGCGAGAGAGAGAGAGAGAGAGAGAGAGAGAGAGAGAGATAGAGATAGAGATAGAGATAGAGAGAGAGAGAGAGAGAGAGAGAGAGAGAGAAAGAGAGAGAAGGACTTAATTTACCCCTTGGGGAATTTACAAAACAATCATACAATTTACAAAACTTAACAGCAATAATAGAAATAGTTTATATTTTTATAAAATAGATACTAAGAACGACAATACAGGCAAATACATTTTGCCGACCACGTACAGCTCACTTTTTCATTGTAAGTTTGAAGCTTGCTCTTGTAGAAAAGATGAATTTTTCTCTTCCATTCACAAAATGAGTCACGAGCATCAATTTTCAGGTGATTTACCAGCCTTCCAACTCGATCAAAATAAAAATTTCCCGTCTTCAAATATTTTCGATTTTTCAAAACAAACATGCAGTAATTTGAGCTCCGCAACGACGAACAAAATTCTGAAAGGGTAACGTAATCGAAAATATTCAGGTCATATTTCCCGTGGAAAAGAAGTAAATCACTTCTCTCTAACCTATAGGAGATAGGGTAAATATTCAAGTTCAAGAGTGTAGAATTATAATCACCAGTCATGCCAATCCACTCAATGCAACGCTTATTTAAAGACTCCAACGTCTGAAGATCTGTTTTGCTTGGGGACCAAATTGGAGATGCATAAAATGAAATGGAGAGAAAACAAGTTTTGTATAAATTAATTTTGAGTGATCTAGATGCACTCTTCGGATCATTTCTTTTCATCATAAAGAAGACCTTATAGCACCTCGAAATTTTTTCAGCAACGTGGAGGGACCAACTTAAATTCGAAGTAAAAATAACACCAAGGTCTTTAAAACTTTGAATGCTATCAAGCAAAGGCTTACCGATATAGAGAGTCGTGTTATGGAACAGTGAAAAAATAGAGTATTTTGCACTTCTCTGGATGTAAATCAAGAAAATTTTCAGTGCACCACCGCTGTAGAGCGGACAAGTCAGTCTGTAAGGAAGTAGAATTTACGCTGCAGCATTTGAGATCATCAGCAAAGAGAAAAGAAGAGATGCTAAGGGTTGGGGGAAGATCGTTTACAAACAGTAAGAATAATAAAGGCCCTAAAATGCTACCTTGGGGCACCCCACTTGTAACTGAGGCAATTTCAGATAGCATGCCATCTATGCGCACACGCTGGTAGCGATTGGATAAATAACTATGTAGAAGTTCTAGGAAATCATGATCAAGGCCATATGACGCAAGTTTATAAAGCAGCCTGTCATGTCGCACTGAATCGAAAGCTTTCTTAATGTCAGCATAAAACACGGTAGTAAAAAGACCCTGCTCATGACCTTCAAAAATTTTATCACAAAAACTCAAAAGTTGAGTTACAGTTGAACGCCGAGACATGAACCCATATTGTGATGACGAAAATTTGTACCGGATTTTCAAATAAACATGATCGAATAAAACTCGTTCTAGACCTAGTGATAATTTCGGTAATAAGCTGATTGGTCGATAATTGGTAACATCACTGTTATTTTGTTTCTTATGAAGAGGCGAAACATACGCAGTTTTCCAAGCATCAAGCCAGACTTGGTGCTTCAAAATATCCTCGTAAAGCGCAATAACCAAGGGACACAGTTGATTAGAGCAGTACCTAAGAAATGCAGGAGGTACATTATCACAGCAAACTGAGGATGAATTATCAGCAGAGCGTAAGAAGTTGAGAATTTTATCGAAAGAGATATCAATGGAATTGAACGAAGTTGACGAACAAGCATAGAGCTGTAACTTATCGACCGAATAGGAGGGTTTGAAGACTGGCTCAAGTGCCAGAGAACTATGATCGCAAGCCGGGAATTGTCGTGTCTTTAAAGTTAGTTAGTTCTTAAGGTGAACGGTAGATGAACTGTAGTAAAAAGGAATTTGTTGTCGTTTTTTCCGTTTCAGCTGTGCAGATGCTGCCACTGCACCTGATATTGTAGGTATAAACAGAGTTGAGAAAATTTCAAGTAAATCAGGATAACTTTATGCATCGTAGCTCGCATGTAGGAAACTATTAAAAGTAACGAAATTAAAAGAACTTCTGGAATAAGATGGTGGAAATAACTCAGCGTTTGTGTGCATTGAAAATGTAACCCCAACGGCACGGTGATCAGAAAGTGCACAATCAAAGACAACAGGTTCATTTTCTAGAAAACGGTCAGTTAGAAGAATGTCAAGTATATTCCCACTATTATGAATTGGTCCATGAATCAATTGCTGCAGATTGTAATCCTGGAAGATTGAAATCAAATTCATGTCATAGCTGGAAGAACTAAAGCTAGTACGCCAATCAATATCCGGTAGGTTAAAATCACCGCCAAGTAAGAAATAATTATTTAAACAACCAAGTTTTGAACATTCCGTCCGGTAAGCAGGGTATACTAAGGATAGGAAATATTGAACTTCTGAACAGGGTAGCTTGAACCTAGAAGATGCAGGAGGGTTATATACTGTTGCAATGCATAAAACATATGAAGAACTCGAAAGTATAAGAATACTACAGATAAGCATTCATAAATATTAATGGACTGATGAATGCACTTATGTATATTTGCAGTTTTTTTAAGTTCAATGGAAATACACATGCTGAAAACTATGTAAATAGCACTCTCCTAATATGAAAGTGGAATCGGTGCGAAAATACGTGAACAATTTCTAGTTTCGAAAGTGGAATTTACTATTTAGATTTCAACGGGAATAAAAACTCTCAAGTTGGGTTAATGTTATCAAAAAAGCACCGATCTTAAACTTTTATAAAAAATCAAATAGCTGTGAGTGCATTTAGTTTTCTTTGAAATTCGAAAGTTGGAAATTTTTTTGAATAAAGTCAGTGTTTTTTTTTCTGTTTATTTGCGGTCATTACTCTTTTCCAACGGTCAGCTGGCTATGTTTTATTATTCAAGTACCAATTATAAACTACTCTACAAATTCAAAGAACTTTAAGGGCGTCTTTTTTTCTCCAAAAAAAAACAAATCAATTTTTTTCTGTTTACTTGCGTTCGTTGACTCTTTTCTAACTGTCTGTTGGCTATGTTTTCACTTTTAAGCTGAATCGTATATTCCATCGTTCAAGATTTTTTTGAATTCATTTTCATCCTTGATTCTAACCACTCCACTCATGAATGCAATCTGTTGAAGCATCAATGCTTTAACTGTACAGTTTTTATGCTTCTTTCACAAGGCGAACTGCTTAAAGCTTTTCGTATCAGTGTTTTTTGAAAATGAAATTCTCAAAACCTAGTGTGGGGTGTTTTCAGGGTAAACTCAGGGTTGCAAATTGGTCTTCAAAAATCACTGCTCTTTTTGATTTCCGAGATACGGCGTTTTTTATGATTTTTTATTTCAATTTTTTTATTGAAAAACATTAGAATCAAAAAAAGTTTCACAAAACTTAATTTAATCTACTCTATGATGGGCTGGTTACATGTTACACACAGGGACTGCAAATGTGGCCTCCAAATCTTACTGCTCAAATGCTTTGTTTCCAGGATATACCATTTTTTTGTTTTTCAAAAAAAAAAATTAGATTTAAAAAACCTTTTAGCAAAACATGAAATTTTCTTGTCTATCATGGGGTGCTGTCAGGGTAAGGATTGCAAATCTTCAAAGCTTCAAATTTAAATGCTCAAATTTTTTTAATTTGCGATTTTTAAAAAAGCTGACAAAACTTGAAACTGTTAACAATATTTTTGTTGTTTGATGTCTGGGTACACTCGCAGATTGCAATTTTGGCCTCCAATAATTACTGCTCAAATCGTTTCAGTTTTCTGATTTTGATTTATTAAAATGTTTTTGAAAAATTTAGGTCTAAAAAAGACCAACAAAACATGAATTTTTCTCCCCGATGGCGGGGTTTTGTCTGGGTACTTTATGGTATGCAAATCTGTTTACCAAATTTGACAGCTAAATTCACTTAACAAAACTTGAAATTCTTAACCCTATTTTGGGGTGCTGTCAGAGTACATGCATGGATTGCACAGCTACCATTAAACAAATAGGATTGATCAAAACCTTTAAATAGCCGAGATTTGACGTTTTTTTTAATTGTTAATTTGTTCAAATTTCTCAGTGAGTAAATGATTTTTTTTAAAAAAAACTGATTGATGTTACAACAAAATTATAAAAAATAACCGCTGTTAGCTGCCTACGCTTTTGGGTCCTTGAAAATTCTAATGTTTGACCAGTTTGACGAAAAATGAACTAAAAGTTGACTTTTGAGTCGTTCAATAAATGGCATAAGAAACCCTGATATGCTTTTTTTAACGTTCAACAATCTATTTGAAGCTATTTTCACGTTCAACTATCTATTTAAAGCACCGGAGTTTCGAGTCATGCGCTAGGCTAGTTAACTTGAAATCATTTACCCCTGCCTTAAATGAGTTTTGAAAATCCAAACCAAAAAATACAAGGATAGCCGGTTGCTTGTAAGTAGCACAGAATGTCAAAACCACATCCATAAACAACTGCCACAAAGGGTTTTGTTTTTTCTTCTTCAAATAAGTGTAGCTTTTAAGGAGTGGGGTGAGAGAAATATACAATTGTGTAGAAAACTGGTGAATTAGACATAATCGAAAATTTTTTTTTCAAGAATTGAAAGACAAACAATAAATGAAAAGTTTTGAAGTTCTTAAATTTCTATTTTGCACTATTTTTTCTTAAAATTATTATTGCCAAGGAGACGATAAGAGAAGCTTTCTTGGACTTATTTTCATATAACGAACATAACTTAGGACATCACTAAAATAGGACATCCTGAACAGAAATTTTCATGCCGTTCAAATCACGACTTTAAGGGCTTGAATATGACATAAGCACATTGCCACCTGATTTAGCGTGAAAGAAAAAATTGAAACAACTAAAACACCCGAATACTGAGTTCCTCCCCATTTTCAATGGTCAGAACTAAAAGCGGTTTTTCTGTATTTTTTTGAGAAGCTGAGAGTAATGAATGGTTTTTAGGTGGACGGGTTCTACAATGTCACCAACTTCTCCAACCAGGTGTTGGGGCAAGTTAAGTTGTCAATTATCCCAATGGATGGATTTCAACCGCCTTTGAAACCAAAAGAGAGCAGAGTAGAGCCGAAGTCATCAGCTGCAAGTGAAACTCCGAAGGTGCTGGAGGAGGATAAAGTTTTCATGCGGAAGTCGGTAGACACGTCTTTTCATTGGGGGATGGGATACCCGATCGGAGTTGGAGTTGGCTCTAGTTCAACAATGGACGAACTGAAGCGTCACTTGGAGGAACTGGAATTAGTCAAAGATAGCTTAAGAAAGAAGGTTACGAAGCAACTGAAACAGGCGGACGTTCTGCTGAATCCAAGCGCGAATGGTCATTTGAAAAATGAGGTGTCGATGGTAGGAAATGGAAGTGAAGCGGGAAGTTCTAAGCATAGGTCAGTAATCGAAGCCGAGCAAACAGACACTAAAACAACCGATTGCAGAAATGAACTTGAAATTCCGTCGAAACGTAGTGAAATAGAATACGGAAGTAGAGGACATGGCGATAGGGAACCTAGCCGACAAATCAGCTCAGCCCAAGACAACGCCCAGCAACTTCTGCAGGCGCTCAATGCCGCCAAAGAAAAATTGATCACGTTCAACTCTGAAGCTGAGAAGGCAGGTCAAGAGAACGAAATTAAAAGTCACGAGAATGAAGCTAGAAATGAAGTGCACGATGAAAGTTTTTCTGATCTTCACATTGGTGATAACGAATCGGAAGCTTTTTCCGATGGCGGTGAAGCAAATGACGTGACGAGAAGCCGAGAATTTAATGAAATGAGCCGAGAGGGCTCGAATAACAATGAAGATGAAGTGACCACCCAGAGAAGTGAGTACTTTCAATCGTTTGGTTCAAAAAGCTCGTCTGAGACGCGAGAGTTGCAAAATCATCTGGATGAATTTAACAGAAATGAAGTTGTCAACAAAATCAGTGATAGTATTAAAGTAACTGAAAGTTCCGATGATGAGGAGGATTTTCCTAATCTGGCTATTACTAGTGCAGATAGTGCGACCTATACGCTCGATAAACCGACTTATGAAACACAGCCGACTTCGGACCCTCGTGTTGTTACCTCGGATTCTCTCGAGCGAGACAGGATGACAGAAGTGAGCTATGAGACTACTGGTGTTGACAATGGTAAGTTGTCCCAGCTGACCACATTCAGGCAACTTGACGAGGAGTACGGAGAGGACGAGTTACTGCCTTTTGATAGACCCCAGGAGTCTGAAAATGTAGAAGCTTTAGCTGAAGATGAAAATGTTACTGATCAATCTCCTGGACATGAAAATGAGAACAAGGATGATTTTGAAGAAAGGCCGATAATTTCTATACCGATAGCTGATGAACCATCAGAGAACGAAGAACCGGAATTACCATTAAATGCAGATAAAGATTCGAATAATCGTCATTTACTGTTTGCAAATGACAGCAAAGTTGTGTCGATTTTCTCGCCTTTGAGTTCTGTGGATGTCGGAGAGACTACACAGAACCCAGAAGCTCCGCACCATGAGAGTTCTGGTGTGACTCGAGACGGCAGGGATGAAAATGAAAGAGATACACACAGTGACCCAGATCGCTCAAATGACGAAGAGAAAGTGGATGCTGGTACCAAAGAGGAGAAAGAAGCTTATGAGTTTCCTGAAGCAAAGATAGAAGTGGACAGTAGTTGCCATCTGGTTACTTCTGATGTCGAAGTCGAATCTGAGAAAAAGTTCGACGAGCCAAATGAAGGTCATCACGATGAAATTGGCGAAACTGAAGATCCATTTCATGCCGAAGGTGGTGAGAATAATTCGTCCCCGTATAGCATCTTCGAACGAGTTACCCAGGAGTCGCAACCTTTGACACCACGACTGATCCCAGAAGTTACTTTGCCTCGAAGGTCATCGCTCTCTTCAGTGGCGTCATCAAGCTCGTCAATGAATGGACAAAGTTCAAAACAACCAGCTCCAAATGCGTCAAAGATGCCTTCTGTTGAAGAGGCGAAACGAATAGCTCGCATATTCTCTACAAAATACTCCTAATTTCTGTCATCAAATAAAATACATCAAAAGTGCACTTAACCTCTGAAACTACTTAATACGTGGATTTATTACTATGATGTTTTGGTCTAACCATTTTGCAGTTTGAATTTCCAGTTTTGTGTAGATTGTACATAAAATGTAAATGTGTATAGTTTCGTTTTACTAATTTCGTTCTGAAAAAATTGAAAGTTACTTTCTGAAAGTTTTTTCTGGGTGAACTTCAATGGCCTAAGTGATAAGCATTCGCCTGTAATATTTAGAGGTCGAGCATTAATGGCAAATGGTATCCTAGATGTGATTTTTTTGAAATATTTTCAGTCCTTGTTATGCCTCCTCCACGTCTTATTGGGAGTGCTAGGGCGAGCGCCAGAGGCAACTCAAATGTTCCGCCTCTCAATCTCCCGACAGATAAAGATGATGTAGACTACCCCCAAAAATCCCAACCTGTCGTTTGGGACATAAACCTGAACACGCCTGATACTTCGTCCACTGTGAGTTGGGGAGTTTCGGCAAATAGGAGTGTTCCCAGAAATATGGTTTCTTCTCACAGGGGAATGCCACCGACACCAAAAGCAGCTCTACTCGAAAAAGAAATTGGGTCGCCTCAAGCACCAACTGGCAGGTGGGTCTGACCTACAATTCATTTAAATTACCCCATGAAACAAAACAGGGTCTCTACAGTCTCGATTAAAAATGGTTGTGTTATATGAGGATTTATCAGGTATTTAATTCTTGTAATTTTTTCAGAGTTCTCGCTTTGATCGTGTTTAAATTTTCAAGTTCATTTGCTGAAAGGAAGGCAAAATACGCTCTGTGTCGCCCACGTCAGTTACTGTTTTTAGTACTTGCTGTGTCGCCCTCGTCACTTAGGTAGCTGGTGTTTTCCAGCTCAATTTCAGGCAATTCGAGGAAAACTTACAGGACTTCAAGTGTGGTATTTTATTAAAGCCCTGTAAGTCGTAATTTCGTTTCCATTTTTTTCAAAGTCTCAATGTCGAGAAAAATTACATTTATTTCAAGTTAAAATGTCGAGAAATACATTGCCACTTATTGAAAAAGAACCCCAGGAAGTTTTGTTTTAGAAAATCAGATTTTTTGTCGTTTTTTTTTGTTTTGCCACCCTAAACCCCAAAGAGAGGGTAAGGAACTATAGATTATTCTGTTTTTCCGCCAGATTTGACACCAAAAAGAAAGCTCCTGAAAGTTCGTTATCGGGAACTTGTTCCGTTAACAACTTTCTCTTACAAATCTCTTAGAATTTGAACTTGCTTTAATATTAAACTGAAACATCTTCCCGTCTCCTCTCTACTTGCTCTGCATTCTAAGGTCTGGATTTAGATTCCCGGCCCAACTTTTTTAGTATCTGTGAAATTGAAGATGCAAGCATGGATTTTTTCAGCATTAACGATTCCTACTTAAAATCGACAAGTTTTCAATTTACCAACTCGGATTTTGTGTAAGTTTTTTCTGTTCCTTTCTTAAATTCAATGGTTTTAGCTTCTGTTGTTTCGTCAACTTATTTCTGGTCAAGAAGGGCAAAACTTGATTGAACGTAGTGAAGACTCTTATAAAGGTCTTGCTGATTATTTTTCCGGGAAAAAGTGTTAAAATGTGCATTTAAGTCTCAATAACTACAGTTGTGCATTCATTTATATTGATGCATTTATGAATACACTTAGGTATATATGCACTTTTTGAGTTAAACTGAAATTCATCTGCTGAAAATGACTTGAATAGCACTCTCCAAACGAATGTGGAAATGGCGCGATAAAACGTGAACGATTTCTAGTTTCGAAAATGGAATTTAATTTTTAAATTTCCAGCGGAATAAAAATTTCACCTGTTGATCCAGTTTCCTTGAGTTGAGTTAATGTTATCTAAAAAGCGCCAATCATAAATCGTTCTAGAAACTCAAAGAGCTTAAAGGGCATCTATTTTTTTCTTTGAAACTCGAAAGTTGAGATTTTTTCAACAAAGTCAGTGTTTTTTTTTATATTTACTTGCGTTCATTACTCTTTTTCAATCTTCGATTGGCTATGTTTGTTAAAACGTCAGTTGTGGTGTAAAAGTTTTGAAACTATATCGCTCAAATTTTTTTGACAACAATTATTTAGGTAATTTTTTTTGTTTTCGGATCAATGGGCGTCTACCCACCTATTGTAGCCTTGTGATCGCTCAATTTAAACTAAAAGCTTTTTCAATGCTGGTGGTTGTGTTTGAAGCGTGATAACTAATTCGATTGCCCTTCATCTTGAAGAAACACATAATTAGCAGATTTTTTTTTCAAATTTCAAATTAGCCTGAATTTCGGTGGTGGTAATATGTTCTACTTGCGCCCCGACCGGCTTTTTTCAAATTTTTGTTTTTGAGTTTATTTGTTTCTATCATTGTGATCGGAAATTTCTGGGCTACTTGCTTTTCTTATTTATGTTTAAGAGTAATGAACGTAGTGAGTACTCTTATATAGGTCTTGGTGATTTTTTTTTTGGTTTTTTCCAGGAAAAAGCCTTGAAATTTGTTCACGCCCAATTTTGATTTTTCGCGGTTTGACTTGTGATTCCTTTTCAAGTTCAGTGCATTTCCATTGTTAAAAGGAAGGCAAACTCCACTATCGAACAGCAAAAGTGTAAAGGTCACAAAAAACGTGATCGACTTCTAATTTCGAAAACGGAAATTAATTATCAGATTTCCCAGCGAAATAAAAGTTTCATCTATTGATCCAGATTTGTCAAGTTGGGTTAATTTTAACAAAAAAGTGGCTGTCGTAAATTATTCTACAAATACAAAAAGCTTTAAGGTCATCTATTTTTTTTTCTTCGAAATTCAAAAGTCCGTTTTTTTCAGCGTCTTTATGTTCATTACTCTTTTCCAACTCAGTTGGCTGTGTTAGTTTTATGGCTTCCCTTCTTGTTCAATGGTTTGCTTCATTTCAGAAATGATTCGGCCTCTGACAAGATGGTGTTTGTGGAATCAGGAAATCTGGCCAGTCGAGAATTTTTAGACAAGCATGATGACCTGTACTGGAAAAACAAGGCGGTGCTTTTTGAAGCAATATTGGGTATGAGCTACAGAAGCTATCAATTTTTGTTTATGCTGATGAGCTGGAAACTGTTGAAGAGGATATTTTCTCAAAAATTTGCGCTTTTTGATTAATCAGAAATATCTGATAATGCTTAGATTAATAAGCAAAAGTTATCAGTTTGGCTCTTAGGTATTATGCAATTTTAGTTATTGAAATATTATTGAAATAATCTGAAAATGAAAATCTGGTTTCAGTGGACCAGCTGACCCGTTCTGTGCTCTGCGACCCGGCTCAAGATGTGTCCCGCGCATCCAGCAGACCCTTTTCTTCCCGGGTAAGAATGAGTGCCAATGCACGGGGAGACAGCACTCCCATTAATCTACATCAGACTCTAGTGAACCCCACTAATAAAACAGTGAATGAAGCTGTGCTGGATAAGAGGATCCAGTTTGACGCGAGAGTGATATGCAGAGATGGGAGTATTGCTCTGAAGGTAAGGATAGGTAAAACTGTCACTAAGAAGCGTTGTATGTTTTGCGTATTACAGATGTTTTTAATGACCAGATTCATTTTGCTTGCTAGAGATTCATTTTTTTTCTAGAAAACCTGATTGAAACAAAAACCGATTTTAATTACGTATTTTATAAATCTAATCTGGTAAAATATTAGTTTTTGCAATGTATTTGGACTACAAAGGTTCTGAATTCCTGTGGTGAACCTCTGTGTCCCCGTCAGTCCACCTGTTCAAACACAGAAATTCAAACTTGGCCGAGTAATTTTTATCTATGAATTTTCACTGTTTTTCAGGAGCTGTCCGGCATTTTCTTCCAATACGACAACTCAATCGTAGTGTACGAATTGAAACTATTCGGCAAACATCGTTCGACTTCACTGCCCTTCATAGAGAGAAGCAATTACGTCAACATATCCCGAGTGCCAAACGGTAATTCAGACTCTTTAAAACATGTATACGGAGTACATGATATAACACCTGGATTTGATCTCGTTTTCATGACATCGGAGCAAAACTGCCTCCCGCCTGCGCTGAGACAGAACAGACATTGCGTAGTGCTGCGTATTACAGCCATAGACGAAACAGCAAAATTTGCTATTTTGAAATCATTAGCTATTGGTGACTATAAACAGGTTCTGTGTAAACAGATGTCAATTGACGAGAGGAAAAGTTACCGAGACCTTTTGAAATTGCAAAAGAGAAATCAAGAGTTTATTGCAGAACAGAACAAACCTCTGAGTGTGATGAAAGGTATGGTGGCGTTTTGCAACAGAGGTACAGGATACTTCGCCAAAGATTTCTACCAGAACGTCGTTATGGTAAGTTCAATTGAAATGGAAAGTTTTATTTTGCAATCGATTGCTTGTCATTATAATTATCTAATAGCATAATTTAAAATAAGGATAGCCGGTTGCTGTGTGCTTGTAGCTCAAGAAATTCTGAACATTATAAAAAAAAGTTTTTTTTGAGATTGCGTTTTTTGTTCGTGGTGTGATGGGAGGATCAGAACAGAAGTCTAGAACTTAGATAGTATTGACAACTAATTTCATCGTAAAATAAATTTTTATTTTTTAAAGCTTTATTCTCAAAAAGGCGCTGAAAAAAATAACTTTACTGGATAAAGGATAAGAAAGAGTTCACTGCTTGTCTTCAAGCAGTTTTGAAAACGTTTTCATAATTGCGTTTTTTCGGCCCCTCGTAATAAGTGTAGGTTGGCGCGGAGACGCTTTCAGGACTAGTTGTTCAAAAAGCGGTGTTTTAAAATAGTGTAAAAGGAGGATACTTTGAATAGTGAGGGTGTAAAACAGTAAAAAAGGGAATCTATTGAGGAGCGAGCTTAAACTTCTTTCAGAGTAAAAAGCGGAAAAAAACACCGGAAAACCGATTTTTTGCTCAAACATTTCCAAAAAAGCCAAAAAACAGCAGTTTTGAACTGTGTTTTTTCTAAAGTTAACATTCGGTAATATTTTGTAAAATAATGTTATCATAGTGTTCTGTAAGAACTCGGAAAATCCATTTGGTCAATCTAAAAAAGATCCAATTCGTCAGTAATTCCGCGAAAACTTCCATATCAAGTATGATACCCGCTAAGGCATGGGCGTTTGCTTGCTGTGCATTGCTAAATCAAATTATTTCAAATTAGTTCATTTGTTATGCTAACTTGTGCTGCTGCAAATTTTCGCATCGTGGGAAAAAAAGCTTACAAAAGCTCCATTCAAAAAAAAATATTGATTTCTTATGTCTAACACAGCATGCCGCATTGTTGTTTGTTTGCGGTATTTAACGAAATCCTTGAGTGAAAGTGAAGAACTTCCATAATTTTAGGACTACGAATTTCTACTAAACTCTGAGGAAATGGATGTTGTATGGAATGCCCTGCGAGACAAAACTTTTAATGAAGAAGTCCATTTCGAGCATTTTTTCAACGCTTTTCTCGGAACATTTTTTGAAGACGAAGCCGATCTTGTCAAACAAGTAATGCGTAAACTGGACCCAACTAGAACTGGCTATGCAATTCCAGATAATTTTTTGAAGTTTCACAAGCCAGCGAGAACCAACGACTTGTATCGATTGCTTCAAAGGTTGGAACTACCAGATGTGAAAGAGCATTTTTCAGGTCGAAATGGAAGAATTTCAGAAGATATAACCTGGGGAGCATTTAACGATTATTATTTTGTAGTTTATGCGTGCCTTAAAGATGTAAAAATGTTTGCTAAGCTAATATCTGAAACCTGGGGAGTTATGAGAGATTAGATTGTAAATTCGTGTGCACAGAAGATTTATGTGTAAATATGTTTAAGTGTAAAATATCTATCCTTAGTTTAAACCTTTTGGTAGTGATGATAATTTTCTATACAAATTTGTTCAAAATTTACTGTTATGCCTGCGAGTTTGGATCGGGATATTTATTGTTCCTCGGGCCACCCATGTTATTGAAAAAACTTGGGTTTCAGGTGTCATCCACGGAGTCGAGCGTGTTTTTAACAGACTGTTAGTTTGAAATCGGTTTCCTGGAAGATTGTATTAGTGTCCTTAATGATGAGGCAAACGATTTTACTTTTAAGTCGTTTGGGTTCTGCTTATTTGCGTGATTTTTTTGTCAGGTAAAAGTATTAAAATTTGATCACGCTAAATTTTGATTTTTGGCTGTTTGAATTTTATCTTTCGTAATTTTAATTTACTAAAAGGATGGCAAATTACCAGCTCCAACTGCGTAAATGGCCGCTAAACTTCAATGAACTTTAGGTTGCAAAGTGGAGTTAAGTTTTCAGTTTTCCCAGCAAAATTAAAAATTATCTATTGATCCAGTTCTCTCAAATTGAATTACTTTTATCAAAAAAGTGTCTCTCATAAATTGTTTTAGAAGTTTTGTGGGCAGCTATTTTTTAAGAGTAATGACCGTAGTGAAGACTCTTTTATAGGTCTCTTTCGCGGTTTGAGTTGTGATATGTCTTTCAAAATTCAGTGTCTTTCATTTGTTAGGAAGGCAAACTCCACTATCGACTAGCATAGCAAAAGTGTAAAGGTCATGAAAAACATGATCGACTTCTAGTTACGAAAGTGGACTTTAGTTATCAGATTTCCCAGCGAAATAAATCCTTATCTATTGATCCAGTTTTCTCAAATCGGGTTAATTTCATGAAAAGATGTCAATCGTAAATAATCTAGAAATTCAAAGTGGTTGAAGGTCATCTGTTTTTTCTTCGAAGATTGAGATTTTTTCAAACAATAATTCAGTTTTTTTCCTTTTTTGCGTGCATTACTCTATTCCAACTGCCAGTTGGCTATGTTTTCATTGGGATTCGAAGTTGAGAATTTTTCGAAAAACAAAAACTTTTTATATTTTTTTCGTTCAGTGACTTTTTTTTTCAATGCAATGAAAAACTTATTTCAGTCCAGTTTTCTCTGATTGAGCTAGTTTTTTTTTTAATTAAAAAAGTGTTGATCATAAATAGAAAGTTTTGAAGTTGTGTTTCAATTCTTTTTTGGGATCATTGACATTTTAACAACTTTTTTTGGCTATGTTTCAGTGTGAAAGAAAGAAGTATTTTTCACTTTAATAGGTCTTGATGGTTTTTTTCAGGAAAAAGTTCATCTTTTACGGCTAATCTTCTGATTTTTTTGAAGTTCTAGAGAAATTCTTTTGCCAAAAAGAATGCACATTCCGCTCTCCAATTAGGAAAGTTGAAAAAATGTGAACTATTTCTAGGTTCTAAAGTTTCATTTTTTAGATTTCCAGCGGAGTAAATAAAATGCCCAGTTATACAGTTTTCTCAAACTGGGATAATTTCCTTGAAACATTTTCAATGATAAGTAGTTCTTGAAGTTCGAAGAGCCGTGAGGATTTTTTTGTTAAATTTATAAAATTATAAAGTGTTTGAAACCTGTTAATAATTTTTTTTTCGTTTTCCTTGTAATACCCCTCAAAAAACTCTTGCATAGGAAACAAGTTTTGCTCATCCAACGATGCAATATGTTGCCACTAAGCTGATTTAGTATAAATCGAAAAATCTTTAAGCGGAGTTAAGGAAAAAATAAAATCGTCAAAAATTATTGATTTGGATTTGGTGAATTTAAAACTAACATAAAAAAACTTGGAAAAGAACGGGTTTTGGAAGGCAAAAATTCTGAAAGTATGATTTTTGGTTGATTTCATTATTGCATTTGTAATAATTCCGTTCACATTAACTGACGGAGCAAAAATTTGAAAACTTATTTGAAAAGAAAACTATCAAAATTTCAGTTATTTACTTTTGCGAGAGCAAGTGTCTTGTAATCGGGAACAAGACTTTTTTTCCCGTCAACAACTTTTCTTGCAAATTTGTAGGAAATTGTGAAGTTGTTTTATTAGTGAACCTTAGCAACTTCGAGACTACTTCTCACTTGGTATAGAGGTTTTGCATTTGCCTTTGTACCCCGAAGTCTTGGCTCGAGTACCCACCGGCCGGACCTTGTTTTTTCAGGTTGCATTAAATTGAACTTTTTTCCTGTCGAAATAGATGTGTCGGAATTTCAATTGTTTCCTATTGTTTTGGCTTATTTGCCACATCGGGGGTTTTTAATGCTTTCAACAATTTTCAGTAAATGGTTTTGGCTTTTGTTCAGCGGCGTAGTTACCTTAAAATTGCTAAAAATTTTCCAAGACTATTTTTGCTTTCTGCTCAATGGTTATCCACCCGCTTTTTGTTGTCTTTGTAGCCGCTTGTTAAAAACTAAAAGCTTATTTAAAACTTGTGTTCATTTTTTTGGCTGTTTCTATTCGTTCGCATGCAATGCTGTGGTTGCTTTGAATCGTAAATGATGCGAAACAAGCGCAGGATTGCAAGCAATGTTTAAAATCTATAAGAAATTATAAATTTCTACGTAGAATTTTTAAAAGCATTTAGCTCAACCAATGGGATTATTTAATGGCATTCAGAAATTCAGATGAAAGCTGAACCTTCAAAAAGAGTTTGTGCTTCGCTTCGGGAACTAAGCGACATAAATTAACAGACTGACGTCATATTTTTTGTGCGGTTTCCTTTTGAGTTTAGAAGACGCCGCAATAATTGTACTTGCAATTAGGAGCCTCGAACCTTTATCAACAGTTTTGACAACTACTTGGTTGGAACACATTTTTACACTAACGAGCAGCGAAGTGTATTAGTACGAACCTTCTTTTTTTCTTAACTAACTCGCAAATAAAAGTGTTCACTAATTTGTGGGCACTTTTGCTGTAATCACGATCTGTAGCATTGGAAACGTCATAACTTCTGTTCTCTGCTTTATTTGTGGCTAGTGTTAATGAGTTATTAAGCGTCCGTGGCTGAGTGGTTAGTGCGGGAGACTCATCATCTCTAGGTTGCACATGGAATCAGAGACGTAGCCGAAATTTTATTGCACTTTATAGAGCTGCTTTTTATCGTGTTCTCGCTATTGTCTGCGAAGCGAGGCTTCGCTTCTGTGTAGAAATTTTTCTATCTGTATAAAAAAAATTGTCAGCACAAATATTAGATAACACCAAAAAATGTTACAATGATACATGCAATTGCGCCAATTGATTACTGTTAACGCAATCTTTAAAGGCAATAGAAGATCCACGATTTGGGATCCACCATTGAGATCCAACATTGAGTTTATATCCGTAAGTAAATCAAACTCACTTTTCTTACTGATTAAAAGTCAGAGTGTTAATTAGAAATTCCTTGGCTTTGCACTTCCAAAAAGTCAGGCAGGTTTTTTTTGGATATTTGAACCTGTATCAAAGTTCCGTCTATTCTTACCCTATGTGCCTGTTTCGTCTTTTTTCTTTGGTTTACACCAGGAAACTTGGATCACTTATATGTGATGTCCTTTTAAAATTAGGTTCGCGAATTCGTCAATTTAATTTGTGCATTTGTATTTTATTGTGCTAATTTTTTTAAATGTAGTTTCAAGACTCAACAGATCCATGGTCTCCGTTTGTATTTCGATCGTCGTTCAAGAACATGATTGATTGGACGATGAACCTCAAATGAGACCTGCACTGTTTAATGATAGTGATTGCCTCTTCTCTTGTGACCCTGGTGAGATCGGTACCGTTGACCGAGGTCAGTCTGTCCCATGGATAAATGCGGTCTGAAACAAAAATAATTTATTTTCATTGAGATTCCAATAAACTTGGGCTGATATGAGTTACGGTAATCATTTCAGATAACAGTTTTGATTGCTCATTTCAGATATCTAATATCTGTTTACAGCCCCAGTTGAAACTCGATTTGATCAATTAAGGTCTTCAATGTCGAAGCACGTACCTTCTCCTTTTAAATCCGCAGCACTCCCCTCTCTCACACTCTGAACTATGATCCCAATTGCGGCATAGTCGACAATACTGATTCCAAGCGATTCGTTTTCCGCTTTCACTATCTCGACGAATCTCTTGGGCCCCAATGTCATCTGCTCGAAACTGGGTTCCTGGCTTTGAACCGAAGAGGCATATGGGGAAACAAAGGTGTTCGTTGAGAAATCAGGAGCGTCGGATTCGGCGACGTTTTCCGGCTGTTCATTAATTCGTTCTTGGGAACTCGGAACTTCTTCCATGTAGGCTTCCTCAGCGTTCGCACTGTGCAGGCTTTCACGAAGAGTAGAGGCTTCAGAATTGAGACTAATGATGTTGCCTGTCTGTAAGAAGTAGTCTGCTTCCTCTCCCGGTACATAGTGAAGTTCTACTGCATTGACAAATCGGGGATCTGTGACGGCCGTCTGCATTATTGGCTGCAGTTCTGTCGGTACGCTGCCCAGTTCATAACCGTTAATCGCCACCAGATAGTCACCGAAAATAGAAAATCGACTAGGAAACATTCTTTCTCAACTCGTGTTTCCCTGAGAAAAAATCACGCTGAGTTGCATCAATTAAGTAGATAATCAAACTTTCTGTCGGTTAAATAGTCTATTATCTGAAGTTTTTTCCTAAGGGTATAAGTTTTATAAATACTTTCTAAGGTCTTTTCATTTATTTTGTTAAAACGAAGACAAACTCTTCTATCGAACAGCAAAAGTGTAAAGGTAACGAAAAACGCTATCGACTTCGTGTCGAAAATGGTATTTAAATTTCAAGATTTCCCAGCGAAATGAACAATTTACCTATTTACCTATCCAGTTATCTCAAATCGGGTTAATTTTATTATTGAAGTAGCAAAAACAAATTGCTCTAGAATTTCAAAGAGCTTTAAGGCCATACGTTTTTTACTTTGAAATTCGAAAGTCAAAGATTTGTCAAAGAACAAGTCAGCATTTTTTTCTGTTTACAACTGCATTTTTTCAACTGTCTGTGGCCTATGAAATTTATTCCTTCAGTAGGCCTCAAAAGAGACAGGAAACCTCAGTTACAGTGCAACTAGACTGATTATTAGGTAGATGGTACCTTCTTGCAGTCGTCCATCCTGTCCTACGAGACCATCTGACGTGATAGTTCTGACTAGCATGCCGGCATTGTGGAAAGGTATCAGCCTCTCTTTGTCGTGAGGAGAGACGAGGCCCATGCCCATTCGCTGCTCAGATTTTTTCTCAATCACGATGTTCTTCACTAGCTCGTCTGGCCATTTTGTAATCTGCGATTGAAAAACTCAGTTTTAAACTTAATCTCTTGGCCAGCTTTGGTTAAAATGTCTCTTCCAAGAAGAGTTTTTTTTATCAGTTGATCCAAAGAGCTGTCGATTTTTTGGAAAAAAAACTGTAATTGCAATGCTTATTCAGATGCGGCTCATAAGTTCACAGATTGTTTATGTGTAAACCTGTGATAAAGTGCTGTTGTCCTCTGGTTCGTTCCGTATAGTCCCCGGCTGTTGCGAGCCGTTGAGTTCTGACAGTTCGTCTTGAACTATTGTTGTACCAGGACTTTCGTTTGCTCTGCTCTGATTGACGGAAGAAGCGCTCGTCACTCTGTAAGTGAGGTGATTGTTATTGACTCGACTTGGATCTCGCTCGCGTATGTTGGCCATCTTTTCACTGCCAGACTTGGAGTGAGAGTAAGCAACTTTGTTTGAGGGAGCGTCGAAACTGACATCGATATTTGTGGAAACTGTGTTGTCCAATCTAGGTAGAAGAATACTTTTGTAATTTGATTCATTGAAAGTTCCTATTTTTTAAATGACACTATTTAATCATGGAGACTTTCCAAACTATTTGGTTTGAAAATATTCTAAATCGCAAGGTGTTTTTTTGTGTGGTCAATATCTTAATTACCCTGAATTTCAAGTACTTCTGAATTAATCGAGCTTATTAGGAGTATATTTCGAATTTTGAGTGCAGTGATGTCCAGTTTAAAAAAATTAACCAAGTTCTTAACCATTAACCAATTTAATTTTTAACCATGTTGAAATCGGTTTACCAGGTTTGCCTTCAAACATTGTTAAAACAAATTATAAAAACTCTCAATTTTTTGATAAACTATGCAAGATTTGAAAGTATTTGACACGCGAACTTTGTCGGACGTTATCAAATTGTATTCAGTTTCCAAAATAGCTAATTATCAATCGATGGAGCACGACTCAGTGGAGGTTTGGTGTGACTTGGGAAAAAAGTTCCTGGACCTTACTTCAATTGAGAATTTGATATAGTTCAAATTGCTTAAAAGTTGATAGAAAATCCAGGTTTATTTGATTTAAAAAGAGCTGTATTTAACCAATTGCTAGGCAAAGGGTTATATTGGACATCACTGTTTGAGTGAACAACTTACATTTGGTACTCCTTTCGCTTCTCCTGCTTGATTTTATGGCCATCAAATTGGTCATTCTCGAGTTCGGAATCAGATTGCGATTTCACGCTTCTGCCGATGTTCCGCACGTCCGGTTTCGCCTCATTCCCAAGCAATGCAAACATCTTTTTGTTGGCGGTTTTTAACAGAGGCTTGTCGCTTTTGTCCTCTTTCATGCTTTCTTCGGTTATATTATCATGTCTTTCGTCGTCTTCTAATTCGTCTTCGTCAAATTCACTGTCGTATTCACTTCCGTCTGCTTCATCTTCCTCGTTGTCCTGCTCGATCAGGTCAGATCCCTGGATTTGGTGGTACCTGAAAAGTTTCACTGTTATAAACTGTCAATGAACGTAATTATTATGATTTTTTAAAGCTTATATTGCCTTTTTAGGTTAAATTTTGATATTTGGCGGTTTGATTTTTGAATAGTGTTTAAGTACGATTCAAATTCATTTGCTAAAAGGAAGGCAAAATCGCTCTGTATTACAAAAGTGAAAATGGTGTGAAAAACATGAACGTAAAAGAAAATTTTTTTGTACTGATTCAGTTCTCTCAGTCTGAGTTACTTTTATTTAAAAAGTGTCAGCTATAAAAAAGATTATTGAAATTGAAAAAGTTTTAAGGCAATATAATTAATGTTAGTAAACAATGTTAACTGGAAAGTTTAAAAGTTTTTTTTTTAAATTCAATCATTTTTTCAATTTCTTTGTGCTCATTGATGCATTTGCAGCTGCCTCTTGGCGATGTTACCTAAATAATAATGAAAAGATTTGATATCAACAGTAATTACACCTTCGAGCGTTAGTGTATTAGAACGAATCTTATTTTCTAACCCAACTCGCAGATAAATGTGGCCATTAAAATTTTCTCTTGGTGGAGCTTTTGCTATAATCACAATCTGAAGCATTGGAAATTTCATAACATCTGTTCTACCTTATTTGTGGCTATTGTTTAGGATTTATTAAGTGTCGGTGGCTTGTGTGTGAAACTCATAATCTCTAGGTCTCTGATCGAATCCGAGAAGTATCCGATTTTTTTTTCGAAATCGAGGCTTATTTCTACATTTTCTCATTGCGCTTTATAGAGCTGCTTTTTGTCGTATTCTCGCCTGGGTTTGCGAAGCGCAGCTTTGCCTCTGTCTCATTTTTGTATATCTTTTGAGGTTTTAAATACTATCCAAGAATTTTACGCTTACGATTAGCCAGAGCTATCAAATCAGAATCTAGACCTATACCATGTAGTTAGTTCGTCTACCCGTTCCATTCGAATGTAAATTTATCAACTCCGATTTTGTATTTCATTTTTTTCCCGTTTTTTTTTGTTCTTTTTTGCCGCTTAACAGGTTGCGGCGTCTATTATTTAAACTTGGTGGCTTCGTCTTTCGTCGTGTGAAAAGCTACAGAAGTTTGTTTTGCATATGTGTGTTTTGAAGGGGATCAATTGTTAGAAATTCTTTAAAAAATTTATTAGAACAATGTTTGTTTCGGCTCAACGGGTGTCTGCCCAAGTATTTTCGGCTTTGTTACCGCTTCCTAAGTTTTGCACCAATGCTAGCTTGACAATCAGATGTCTTTCTTGCTTTTAAAAAAATCAAACAGCTTTTTTCAACACAATTCGAGACAGGTATGTGAAGTTTTTCTGACATAAAAAATTGTCTCAATGATTTTCTTCTCATTTTCTTTCGGCCAGTTTGCCATGTTATGTTTGTGTTGAATCGAAATTGGTGCAAAGCTCCGCTCAGCCTCTTTGTGTTAAATGTTTAGGGTTTGATTTAAATGTGTCTTGGAAACCTATACAAGATATTCGTTGCATGAAACTAGAATAACCATTTGACTTTACCTTAGTGGTATGAACTTGCGGACACCAATGGTGATTGGCCCCTTGTGTAGATGATTCATAAGATTAACGAAGTCTTTGCCAAGGCACTTTGAGGTGTCGTAGTTCATGACCTGAAGCAGAGAAAAGATAATGATGTTTTTCCTGGGCGAAGTACCTGAATGGCTCATGGTGAATGATTTTGGATTTGCGAAGATTTCCAGGAGGATGACATGGACCCCTACAAACGTGACCGAATCGGGATTCGAACACACAACAAATTTCGATTTCGGCGGTTTGAATTTTTTCTTTCATGATTTCATTTGCTAAAGCCGCTAAAATTTGAATTATTTTTAGGTTGGAAAGTGGAGTTTAGTTTCAGGTGTTCCAGCGGAATGAAAAATTGTCTATTGATCAGTTTTCTCAAATTGAATTAATTTTTATTAAAGAAGTGTCTCTTATAAATTGTTCTAGAAGTTCATAGTTTTGAGGGCAGCTATTTTTAAAAAGTAATGACCGTAGTGAAGACTCTTCTATAGGTTTTGTTGAGTTATTTATTTTGTTTTTTTTTTAGGAAAAAATCTTTAAATTAGTTCACGCTTAATTTTGCTTTTTCGCGGTTTGACTTGTGATTTCTTTTTAAGTTCAGTGCACTTCCTTTGTTAGAAGGATGGCAAACGCCACTATCGACTAGAAAAAGGTCATGAAAAACATGATCGACTTCTAGTTTCGAAAGTGGAATTTAATTATCAGATTTCGCAGCGAAATGAAATCTTTACTTATTGACCCAGTTTTCGCAAAGTGGGTTAATTTCATGAAAAATTGTCAATCATGAATAATCTAGAAATTCAAAGAGGTTGAAGGTAATGTGTTTTGTCTTCGAAATTCGAAGATTGAGATTTTTTTAAACAATAATACAGTTTTTTTTCTGTTTTGCGTGCATTACTCTTTTCCAACTTTCAGTTGGCTATGTTTTCTTAAGTACAGTGCATTTCCATTGTTAGAAAGAAGGAAAACTCCACTATAGACTAAGAAAAGTGTAAAGGTCACGAAAAACTTGATCGATTTCTAGTTTCGAAAGTGGAATTTAATTATCAGATTTCGCAGCGAAATAAATCCTTATCTATTGATCCAGTGTTCTCAAATCGGGTTAATTTCATGAAAAGATGTCAATCGTAAATAATCTAGAAATTCAAAGTGGTTGAAGGTCATCTGTTTTTTCTTCGAAGATTGAGATTTTTTCAACAATAATTCAGTTTTTTTTCTGTTTCTTTGCTTGCATTACTCTTTTCCAACTGTCAGTTGGCTATGTTTTCATTGGAGTTTGAAAGTTCAGATTTTTTCAAACAAGTAGAATTTCTATTTTTTGCGTTCATTGACTCTTTTCCAGCTGTCTGTAGGCTATGTTTCAATCATTAGAACGCGGAGTACAAAAATTATCCGAATTTGTTCTTCTGCGAACCTGTACTATTCGGTCATTTGGAGCCATGATGTCAGCTTTTTCTGCCTCCCCACCCTCCATGATTTCTTGTACCACAATCGCTGGACTTCCATCTTCAATGTTAATCTGAGATATCTTCAGACCCATGCTTTCTCCCTCAATCTTCATAACTGTGCACAAGCTCGCCTCTGGTTCCCACGATGCTTCCACAAACATGACACTGTTGTCGGCTTCTAGAGTGCCTTCGCCTCTTGAGTTGACAGAACTGAGATCCAATTCATTTGCATTCGCGCGCGAGTCTGCAGCTGTCTCTGTTTTGGAGTATATTGAGCTTAGTTCGACGTCAGGGAAGATTTCCTGATATTCTGTCATTTTTGATCTCCGCAGCTCGTCGTAGTCGTTTTCAGGGGACTAGTAAAATTATCAGGTTATTTCATCAGAGCAGATTTTTCACAAAAAGGATGATTAAAGCGTTAGTTTCAACGTTTACCCTTTAAATTTTGAAGGAACAACAAAAAATCAAACCAATGTCGAAATTGAGTGTTGGACTTGAACTTTTTCAAGTTTTTAGACCCAAACCCTTGCATTGTTTATATTCATACATTAGTTCCTATGAATATATTAGGTGTACAATTGGTAAATGATTATATGCATTGTGTGCATTATAGGTACCTCATTAGTGGGGTCTCCACTCGCGTTTATTCTTTCATTGTTTGACAGCTGACGTTCATTAGCTTTTGATGGTCCCTGTGTTGTAGGGTCGGATATGTGTGGATTTCTAGCATAGCTGTAGATGTGCTGTTCTGACCTTGAGTGAGTCGCCTCTTTGAATGGAGTAGTAGCGTTGTTGTGTTTCGGCTTGACGAGTCGCTCGTTTGATTGAGATCTATGGACCATGCTTGCCGTTGTGTCATTGAATTCCGATCTCTGAAAGACCGTTTATTTTTGTAGAAGAAATTGAACAAAATTTACTAGTCTGAGCTATCATTGTGAACCATTTTAAGTACTATTACTTTAGAATTTCAGATATCACAATTTACCGGACACGCCTATGCTGAAAATCAAAACTGAACAGTTTTCTATTGCTGTTTAGTTTTGTATCAGCAAAAAAATTTGAAACGTGTACTGTGATTTCATTGTATTTGTCCGGCTTGTAGACATGAAGTGGAGTTTCTTTGTGACTCCGACTTGCTCTCGCTGGTTTATTGGTGGGGTCGCTTGGTCCACCGTGAATTTTTCCAAACATTGGATTCATTGAAAATTCTGGACCTTGCAATTCCTGAAAAAAGCCAGCAAACTATTTATGAAAAAATGACTTTATTGTTTATTCGAGAAAAAATGGAGGGTATTGCTGGCCTTTAAATTAAGAAAAGTTTTAGCTGTGTAATCTATTGTTCCTTGGATTTTCAATTTTTAGGCTAAAATTTGAGACAACCTAGTGATAGTGTAGCCGAGATTTTATAATGAGACTCACATCTTGCTCATGTTTTAAAATGCTGTGAGAATGAGAGTTCCGATTGTTTCGACTGTAAACCACTGTGATGTGTCTCCGTTTGTCAAATTGGGGACCGTAAAAGCGAGAAAATGCTGGGTTAAAAGGATCCATGTTCCATGTTTGGATCCCGTCGATTTCCAGAAGATTGTCTCCGGACTCCAAGGGGTATGCGTTGATAAGATTCGTTGGTCTACCTTGTGGTTGTTGGTTGTGTCGAATTTTGGGAACCTGGTCCACGCTATGAAAAAGTGATCATTAATCATCGATAAGAAGTTAGTAGAATTTAACTGCCCCTGCATGAAAAAAATGTTCAATGTTAGCTGCGAATTAATATTTGTGAATGATATAATTTTGCCGTAATTGATTGGCGAAAAACTCCTTTAAGCTTTTTGAATCTTGGATGAATTGCTCTCATGCACATTATTTGGAAATGAGGAGCTTATTTTAATTCTCACATGTATTTGAGAGCACCTGTAGATGGATCGCTGTGTTCTTTCACCATAGACATCAGATGTTCAGCTATTACTTGACAATGCTGCACTTCGAAACCTTCGCCCAATCTTCTCTGGTGTGTCTTTATCCTCTCTTCTACCGTCCCTTGATTCGGTTCGTCCAAATCATCATCCTGAGAACCCATTTCGGCTTCTCTTAAGAAAGTTAAATGGACTTCTTTCGAATTCTGCTTGAGAAGCGTCAAAGACTCGTCTTTGGTCAGGTGACTTATTGACTGCCCGTTGACGGCCACTATTTGGTCCATAGGTTGGATAAGGCCGCATTTGTCAGCGGGAGATCCGGGTACGACGTCTTTTATAAAGAGTCGCTCGTCTTTGAAGTCTTTGCTTCCAGGGAGCGACCGAATGTTGATTCCTGGAATCAAAACAACGAATTCCCTTTTGTAAATATGTTTGAAATTTCAAACATAATTTTTGAAGTTCCTTGCCTTTCTCATGACGTTTTAACAGATTTTTAATTGGATTTGTTTTTTTTTAGCTGCTACTACTTAAACGATGCTTAGATGTACTGTCTTACCTAGGGAACCAAATTGCTTCACCAGAGTAGCGTGAAAGAATTCGTTCAGATTTTGGTCGAACCGGATAGGATAGTCGAACCTCTGGTATCTGATGACTGTCAAATCAGCAACTCTTCCGCACGATTTTAAAATTGTAACCACTTCATTTGAGTTCAAACCATGAATCGGAACATTGCTGATAGCTTGGATGATGTCTCCTTTTCTAAGATTTCCGTCTTTCCAGGCAATTCCGTTTTCAACTATTTTTTCGACCACTGTCAATGTGTCTAATGTTACAATTGCAAATCCGAAACTCCCGCCGATCTCGTTCGTTTCGAGGCTGATAGTTAATTTTTGCTGTTGGAATCGAATCACTGATTTATGTAACTGAGACTCGTTGAGTAGATTTTGCTCGAAAACAAACTCGACCGGTTGATGGCGACCGGCTAGTTTCGATGTTATGGTCTGAAAATTAGGAAGTTTCTAAGATATGATTTTTACTAAAAAAAGTGGAAATTAAAAAAAAAAATTTCGATACGCATGTTTTTAAATCATTGTGGTCGAACATCTGTGCTACTTGCAGAGCGAACTAGCTCTCCTTGTTGAAATTTTGGAACGAACTAATGTGTGGAAGTTGGCGTTGCACTCGCCACTTTAATTGGTCTTCATGCAAGATGGGAATGTAAACTTAAAGTGCCTTGAAATGTTTTGGGTTCTGGATGACGCAGTCGTTGATGAGGACCAACTCATCGCCAGGTCTGATTAACATCCTCAAATGTGCCTCCTTCCGATCCACAGCAGCAGCCTCGACACTGTCCACCACTAGCTTGCACACCTGTTCGTGAGTGGGAGTTGAGACCTCGTTGGGGTCCCTTTCCAGCTCCACTCCGCCGACGCTGAATCCCCATGAGGAACCGGGTCTGGCTGGGAAGTGCACTCTGAATAAATATGGAAAATTTCATCTCTAAGGAACTAACTGTCTGTATTATGAATAGTGCTATTTTTCAGCGTACAAGCGGTTTAAATAATCAAGACAATAAGCAATTGAACGAATGATTCAGAAGACCTGCATGAATCTTTGCTCGTTTCACGAGCTTTGTGTTGACTCCTTGGCTACGATTGTTATTACGGTTATTCTTCTTTGATGGTTGCTAGATTGGTTTTTGTGGCAATATTGAAAATTTTAATGGACACTGACCTGTAAAAGTTATCTGGAAGTGAAATGCTCTTCGACTGTTGTGGCGGCACCGTTGGTTTGAACAGTTCTTTGTTTTCGCAGTTGAACTTGTAAATCTCTCTGAACACAGGATCCTTCAGGAGGACACTAAGTTGTCGCAACTGCTGTGCTCCCGGGTGAGTGCTGTCAGGGTAACAAGTGAGGAACTGGTTAAGAACTACCCTAGCACTTCGCTCGAATTGGTCCAGGTTTACTGTGACGTCATTAGAAGTTGAACTACAGAAATGGTCTGATAGTTCACACAGTGGAAATTTTGGTAGCTGGAAAGGAGCTAAAAACTGATATTCCTGGACAATTTCGCCGGGCATTTGCTTTCCAACTATGTTGAAATTAAGCAAGTTTTAAATTGAAATTAAAATCTGAAGAAGAAATAGTAATCCCTCAATACTTGGACTTGAAACGCTAATTGACTTGAGGTTGATTCTAATTATTAATTTTATGAAAAAATGTTCAATTTGAACTATCAGATAATTATGCAGTACCCGTCATTATTGCTGATGCGAGGAGCCACCAGGTGATCTCGGTGTTCGTTCATGACCTCAAATAATAAATTTCAGCTAAATTTTTCCGATTGTGTCAGTGCAAAGTTGCTTTGCTGGGTGAAACATTGATTTCGATGGAGTCTTTTACGATTACCACCCAATTTAAAAACCGCGCAAAAGTCACAGATAATCAAAATTTTAAGCATTCATTAAAATTGATTGATTGTAAAGAATCAACTTGGAGTATACGTTCAAATTCTGGTCATCGTTTAGTATTGACGAGATTGTTTGTTGCTTTCATGTTTGTGTATTTATTACACCGCTACGTTTCACTGCTCGCAAGGTGTACTCGTACTGTAGAAGCACATGCTCGTCCTGTATACAGCAATATACAGTATAAACTGGTAGAGTGTATCAACTAAATGTGGTGTGATGACAGTGTTCAATTTTTGTATGGCGGCTGGATTGAATGGTACAACATGTGCATCCAGCTGATCTATGGGAGGATTGTTTTCTTTTGGATAGTGTCAGGAAAGATTTGTGACTGAGAATTGGGACATCGAAGAGGCGATCTCGAGAGGCGGATCCAAGATTTGGATCTTGTATCTTGTTAATTATCCCCCCCCCTCTGGTACCTTGTAACGAACGAATCCCCCCCCCCCCCCCCCACCCATAAAGAAAGAATTGAGCAGTTAAGCATATACGAATTTTGTTTCACCAAACTGATTTACCGAGCTCTTCAAAAACAGCACAACGAACCTATTTGGACAAAATTTTCTGCTCTTAAGGCATTTTTTAAAACCATATCAAAAATGCCGTTTTGGCACTTTTTGTGGATGGTTTTGACCAAAAAAGGCGTTTTTGTCGTGCGTTCCCATTAAATTAGTATACATTGGCGCCAAACTGTCTTTAAAAAAGTTTTGGAGTCCATCGGAAGAAATGGCGGTCGATAAATAGTACCAAAGGACGGGACCATTAGGTGGCCAGGGGTTTGAATCCGTACGGAAGGGGCTGGCTAATTCAAAGTTTCTTAAGTGTCAATGAACGTAGTGAAGACACTCATATAAAGCGTGATGATTTCAAGAGAATGTAAAATAAAGCAAGTTAAAGAAAATCATTTGCCTTTAATAGCAAAATTGCCTTGTCGCTATTTTGAGAGCAGAGATCAAACAACAATCCGAAAAGCTCAATTTACTTCAATTAAACAAGCCAAAACTTTGTTCTAAAAAGTTCCAACTTCTTAGCTAAAACAAGTGACATAAATGAATTTGACCGCATAATCAGGTTGGTTTTTCATTTATGTTTGGAAATATCCGAAAAACGTAAAAATGATACAAAATCTGTGAACTTGGAGATACTCATAACCTAATTATGTTGGTTGACAAGAAATGTCAAAAATAAATTAAACACTATGGAATCATCCATGTGGCTCCAGAAGTTCAAGCAATGCGGCAAAAATTGATCGTTTTTACTGATTTAATGAACTTTTTTTTTAGTTTGGCAAATAAACGCTATCTTAACGGATACCAGGCCCCTATTCACAATCTAGCGTCCAATTGCCAGATCTTTTACTGTGGGGCTAAACTATCAGAAGACAGCATTTTAAACTCGAGTCGTGGTAATGCGTTTAAGAAGTCTCCGGAGACATCTATAAAAAGGAGACGTCTATGAAAAACTTGAGCAAATCTAACTAAGATTTTTGAGAATAGTACTTTGTTTTATTTTCAAAGGTTTTTTAAAAAATCAAATTAGGTGTTTAGTAAAAATGTAAGTTTAACAAAAAAAAATTGGAGAAATGGTGGTGTGAAATTTGAAGTTGTAAAAAGGAAGGACATCGTTTTGGAGGTGAGGTGGCAATTTCTTTGACTCATTTGTAATCGATTGCGTTTTTCTTTTCATTTGCTTTCATTCGTTTATGCTCTCTTGTTTTCGTTTATGCGTGCTCGACAATACATTAAAGCCGGCGCGAAAGCCATTTATATGATTGTAGCCACCGAGTAATTTTTTAGATGATTTTCCTGTACAATTATCTATTAACAAGTCTTGAAATTCAAAACTTAAACGTGAAATAGTTTTTTTCCAAATTTGAATTTGTTCAAAAGTTATCAATCACCTTTTGTTTTGTTTCCTAGAGTGCTTCTAGATCTTTCCAATCATCTGTTGGCTAAGCTTTTTGGCCAAGCAGTTTGTTTGTGGGGTGATTCTTACTGCAATTAATTATTTACTCTTTTACTTACACAGGGTGAACAATTGATGCTCCCCAATTTTGTACAATTGTACAAAATGAAAATTCAGCTCCATACCTCTCATTTTTATTGTTACGACCATTGAAAATGAGAGAGAACTCTGTATTCGCGTGCGTTTTAGCTGTTTTGTTTTCCACGCAAAATCAGGCGCCACAAATAATCATCGGACTGGATTGAGTGATTTATCATGTAAAATAGTCTTTTCAGTAGTGATTTGAAAAAATCGGGAACCAGTGACGAGAAAAATTTTTGATTTCATTTCGAGCTAGTGAAGCGAGCGAGCAGGCTTATTACAGAAGGATAGTTGCAGATTAGTAGTAAACAAAACTCTGATTTTTAAAGCCAAGTCGTTAGCCAAAGTTTTCAAATAAGCCAACAATTGAAAAAAAAAATTTAAACCCTTTTTCAATTTTTTTTGCAAAATTTTTTATTTGCAAGATTGCGCTTAAGAACTTTTCAATTTTTGGCTTATTTGAAAACTTTGGCTAAAAACTTGGCTTAAAAACTCATGGCTTGGTTTACTACTTATCTGCGACTATCCTTCTGTAATAAGCCTGTTCGCTCGCTGCACCGAGCACTTCAGGCAGCAAACACTGATTGGTCTACAAAAAAAATCCCGAATTAAATGCATGCGAGCAGAGCAGAGCAAGCTTGCACAACCTGCAAGTATGGATTGTCATAGCTCCAAAATGAAACATCAATGTGGCTGCTAGGTTGCTGAGGGAAAGCCGCCTTTATGATTGAGGGTAAAAACGCAATCGTCTGAAACTATTTGTTAGCTCAAATTTTGACTATGCAATATTCCACTAGAGTAAGGATAGCCGGTTGCTGTGCAAGCAGCACAGAATGTTCCGGTCACATTCTTAAAAAACTAAAAAAAAGATGTTTTTAAAAAAAAAAACTCATTTCAAATTTAGTGCTGGTGTGATGAAAGGATCTGAACGAAAGACTAAATTTTAGACGACGTTTTCGATATTCATAGTAAAATAGGCCTAATTGAAAACAGATTTCTTCGGAAAAATCTTTAAAAATTTAAACCTTTTTCAACTTTTGTTTGCAAAGAAATCTGTTTTCAAATAGGCCTATTTTACTATGAACATCGAAAACGTCTAAAATTTAGCCTTTTGTTCAGATCCTTTCTTCACACCTGCACAAAATTTGAAATGAGTTACTTTATGTATCTTTTTTAAGAATATGACCGGAACATTCTGTGCTGCTTGCACAGCAACCGGCTATCCTTGCTCTAGTCGAAATTTGCTTAGTCAAAATTTGAGCTAACAAATAGTTAAATTGCTTTTTTATTGCCCAACATAATAATCAAATTCAGACGTTTGCGTTTTTACCCTCAATCATAAAGGCGGCTTTCCCTCAGCAAACTAGCGGCCACATTAATTTTTCATTATTGGAGCTATGAAAATCGATTCTTGCAGGTTGTGAAAGCTTGCTCTGCTCGCATGCATTTAATTCGGGAATTTTTTTGTACACCAATCAGTGTTTGCTGCCTGAAGTGCTCGGTGCATGGTTATCTAGTTTGTTTTATATGCAAGTTTTATTTGCAATAATCGACGCGCGAGAACATGTTTGAAAATTGATAAGTGACAGACATGTATAGAGGCCTTCACCGTTTTTTGGATCATAGTAAAGCTCTTGAAATAGTGTTTAGTATCTAGAATTATTGTCTTGTAATTGCTGAGAAGAGCTTTGAGAAGAGACAGTAATGAGAGGAGAGGGGTTGGTATAAGCCTTGTCTTCTCATTCGATCTCAAGCGTAGCTAAGTCACTCTAATTTCCAAAATTTGTTTAGACTTTGAACCTTACTTTGTTGAGTAAAACAAAAAATATTTAAGATAAAGCAGTCAGTGTATATTCTATGAAGCTTACTTCTCTATAAAGTTTTTAAAGTTCCCAAATGTTGATGAAAAAAATGTCTTTCAGGTTGCATGGTTTTATTATGGTGTTCAATGTGTGGCGCAGAAATATTTCATTTTCCTACGTCTACTGGATATTCAACCGAGTAGACAAAAAGCGTATAAACGAAGTGGGAAGAGATATAGCATGTGCCGAGTGGCTTCTTAGGAACAGTGCCTACGTCAGGCATGGATAAATTTAAATACGCTTTCCACGATAAGTTTGAACAATTGACTTCTCAACAAATAGCAACTTTGTTTTTTTCTTTTTGTACTCTTTATTTGTCTCTTCGATCGATGTTTTTCAAAATATGTTAAAACTTATTGTTCCGACCATGTGAAAAATGGGGAGAAACCTTGTATTCGGGTGTTTTAGTTTTTTTGTTTTCCGCGCAAAAGCAGGTGCCACAAATAACTATGGCAAAGGGTTGATTGATATATCATATTAAAGCCCTTTCAGTCATGATTTGAGCGACTATAAAAATTTTCCAAAAAGTTGTCCCAATATCGAGAAAACGGGTTAACATTTTTGATTTTTTTGTCCAACTTCGAGCGAATAATGTGAGCGAACAGGCTTACAATAGCTTATTTTTGCTTAATTTAGGCCGTGAAAACTTAGATTTTACTCGAATAAAGTGAGTTTTTAGCGCCACTTGGAGATTTCAATAATTAAAGAAATTTCTGCAAAAAATTGAAAAAAATCTTAGTTATTTTTCTACAATTTTGCCTTTTTTACTATGACTGTCGAAAATTGCTGGAAAAAAACGACACCATATTCATGAAAAAAAAGAACGCCATTTTGAACATACCAGGTTCAAAGGGAGGCCCAAACTGGTGACAGGGTATTACGAGATACCGACTGGAAGGGACCTGAGGTTGTCTGAGATCCATGCAGTCAATTCAGGAATCACTATTGATGGATTTCCGTACTTGAAAGGTACTTGAAAATTATTTATAATAATTACGCTTGCGATCAGCTTGGTGTATTATTACGAACCTTTTTTTCTAACCTAAGTGCAAATAAAAGTGCTCTCTTATTGGAAATTTCACTGTACTATTGAAAATTGTATAGCATCTGTTCTCTGCTTTATTTGTGGCTTGTATTTGGTGTCTTGTAAGCTTCCGTGGCTGAGTGGTTAGTGTGTGAGACACTGAATCTCAGACGTAGACGAATTTTTACTAATTTGAGTTTTATTTTTAATTTTTCTTATTGCTTTATAGAGCTGTTTTTTGTCGTTTTCTCGCAAGTGTTTGCGAAGCGAGGCTTTGCCTCTTTGTAATAATTTGTTTTCAGCTTATAATAATTACCATTGTGATCAGCTTAGTATCTTATTAGGAACCTGCTTTTCTTTTCTAACCTAATTCGCAATTAAAGGTGTTTTTTGAAAGTGTTGGCTTATTTAGAAATTTCACAGTAGCATTGGAAATTGCATAGCATCTGTTCTCTGCTTTATTTTGACTAATTCGAGGCTTTTTTCAAATGTTCTTATTGAATTTTTTAGAGCTGCTTTTTGTCGTCTCTGTGCCAGAAAATACTAGGTTGTGGTTTAAATTATACCCCAACTGAAGTCTGAGACTGGGTTACTTGCATTGAATAGCAGTCAATGATAATGCAGCCAGAATTCGCCAAACTTTAATTGATTGAGTTTTTATTATTTTATAATGACAGCTTTAATTGGTAAGCATGATATTTCGATCTCAAAACATTGACGAGCCCCTGAAAAAAATGTATGCGCCTTGAAGAAACAGTTTTTGGATTTTATTTTTTTTAATTTTAAGCTTTTCGATAAAACGATGGGAGGCGTCTTTAATACTTGCTTTTTCTAGCGATCCACCTATCGTACTTGTACCCTTTATTATTTGTTTGTTCAATAATCTGTTATAGCAAAGCCGTCAATTCGCTGAGTAAATAACTGGCGAAAATTTTCTGACAACGATAGGTTCTCGTTTAGGCCTGGAAGCCGTGGAAAAGATATTTTTGATCAATTCGAAAATGATTGACAACAACTGTATTGACTCTCTCAAATTCATATCAGCATCTCTAAAACACGTGGAGATTGAGAGATGCCCTGACGTAACTTCAAAAGGAGTGCTATCGCTAGCTCGACTGAAGAACCTCAAATACCTCCGTCTTCATAAATTGGAAGGAGTTACAAGCGAAGAGTGGACTCAGTTGAAAGACAATTCGAAAAAAGTGTTTCCGAATGTTGAGACAGTTTTTGATGCTGCGAAGCACATTGAAGCGGAAAATGCTCTTCCTCCTCCTGGAACTTAAATCACTTTTCGTCATAATTTTTGTGGCATATTCAAGAATGATGTTTAATAAAATTGGCCGAGACACAGATGATTGAAATTTTTGATTTATGTTGGATTTTTGTGACTGGTAGTGCGTTAGGTTCAGGAGAAAATGTGTCTGCATATGAGTTTTCCAAGAAATTTTTATTGTTGAAACTTAAAAAAAAATTTAAAAATGTTTAATTAAGAGTAATGAACGTAGTGAAGACTCTTATATAGGTCTTGCTGATTTTTTGTTCAGGAAAAGTCTGTAAAAAGCTCTAATAACTACAGATGTGCATTCATACATATTGATGCATTTATGAATGCAGTTAGGTATACAGTGCTGATTTAAATTAACCGGACAACACGCGTTAAACTTGAAATTTAAAACCCGTTTTTCTCAAATTAGGTTGTTTAGGTGAAAACTTATGAAGACAAAACTTGCTTAAAATTTTAGCAAAATTAATATGGTGTAATGTGTTTTGCGAAATTCGGGCCCGAAATTTTACCCCAAAAATGGGTCATTTTGGCTTTTCTTAGTTAATCAAAAATTACGCCGAAAATACCCAGTCGATCACAGACATAATTATATCAAAGTGAGCCCCTTACGTAGCCCAACAAACTTTGAAGGGTATTTTCTCCAAAAAAAATGCAAATTGTTTAAAAATTGTTTTTAAATAAAAAGTTGGTATTTTATATAGTAAAAATGACCTTTTTTGTCTATCAATCAAATATAAATTAACTTATAAAATATTTTGGAGATTATACTCTTGTTAAAGTTTGTTGGGCTACGTAAGGGGCTCACTTTGATATAATTATGTCTGTGATCGACTGGGTATTTTCGGCGTAACTTTTGATTAACTAAGAAAAGCCAAAATTACTCATTTTTGGGGTAAAATTTTGGGCCCGAATTTCGCAAAACACATTACACCATATTAATTTTGCTAAAATTTTAAGCAAGTTTTGTCTTCATAAGTTTTCATCTAAACTCAACCCAATTTGAGAAAAGTGCGTTTTAAATTTCAAGCTTAACGCGTTTTGTCCGGTTAATGTTAAATCAGCACTGTATATGCACTTTTGGAGTTCAATTGAAATTCATCTTCTGAAAGTGACGCAAATAGCACTCTCAAAATACGAACGTAGAAATGGCGCGAAAAAAACGTGAACGATTTCTTGTTTCGAAAGTGGAATTTAATGTTTAGATTTCCTGCGGAAAAAAACTTTGCCTATTGATCCAGTTTTCTCAAGTTGGGTTAATGTTATCAAAAATGCGCCAATCATAAATCGTTCTAGAAAGTCAAAGAGCTTAAGGGCACCTATTTTTTTTCTTTGAAATTCGACATTTGAGATTTTTTCAACAAAGTCAGTTTTTTTTATGTTTACTTGCGTTCATTACTCTTTTCCAATCTTCGATTGGCTATAATTAATTGAATTAAATTTCTTGACTTAGTTTTGTCTAATAATGAATAACCTTACCAGACAAAAAGCAACAATAAAGGATACTAAATATGGCAAAGGCAAAAGGGGAACTGGAGTTAAAAAGGGGAACTTTCATATATTAGTTCTTGCGTCTTTTCCTTTGTTCAAGTAGATTTTTCCGTTTTTGACTTGTTTCTTACATTCAGGCAATGAGGGGATACCAGCTTGCATAAAATGTGTGGAAGTGAAGATGGCGTGAAAGTGGAAATGGAAATAGAAACTAAGGATTTACCAGTGGACTGCATGCTGCTTGAAATACATTTATTTCAGAGTTACTTGGTGGTTGTTCAATAGAGGCTGTTTTCAGAATTTATATGCTGGTTCCAAAGTAAATTGAGGCAGCTAAGTCTTTTTGTTTCCACATACACACGATATCAGCCTAAAGTTCATAGTTTGGTCAATATTTAATTTAACAAAAACTATTTGAGACCAATTGAAAAGCAGTCTTGTTGCTTCATATCAAAGCTTCAGTCTAAACCTTAGTGTTTAACTGATCCATTAACTGTTTTTTTTGGACGTGATGTCATTCAAATTTATGATCTGTCATCACCGAAATCCATTTTCTCCTTTGCAAATTTGCGAAACCACCTTAGAGCGTACATTCCGTTATTACTAAATGTTCACGAGGTCATTTTAGATCTGACAGACAAAGTAACCTCAAAGTATGAGAAGTCCAATTGTCTATTACCAGATTTGCTTTGGTTTGAGCTTAAGTTGCTGTCATAAACTGGAGTGGCAAAAGATAAATAACGCGAAACAAAATGTTTGGACATGGTGAGAATCTGCCATTGTGCAAAGAAGTGCAAAATTAGTCCTTTCACTTAATCAACGTACCAAGCACTATTTCTACGTTTAGTTCGAACATTCATTATATATTTGTTCAAAACTAGCAGTTGTTTATTGCAGATTTAAGATGTCGCAAAATAAGCCAAACAACAGCAACACTCCTAACTTGGGCGAAGTGTCTGGAGATTCTGTTGCATCTTCGAGTATTGTAGTCGAGGACTGGGAGGATCTGGGATCCTCATCCGCATCCTCCATTTCCGCTAATCGAGCAACTGGTTTCCAATCGACCGGACAGAATACGTCGTCCACTCTCGGTTCGACCGACAGTGACGTCATTACTTCGGGAACTTCAGCAAGCAGTGCTTCAGAGCCCTCCCCGTATGCCGACGAATTGGAGCGACTCCTGATGGAAGCTCAGAAAGATGGCGGGAGTTCCAGGGGAACATCAATACGCAGTAGCAGTGGTCCTATTTCTCCAGTTTGGTCCACAGGGGGAGGGACCGGATTCAGCAGTCCAGTTTTTCTGCAAAACTCAGCCAATCAGACGAAGTTGGAAGCAGCGCTGGCTAATTATTCGAGCAGACCAGAGTGCACGCCACTAAAACCACACGAACTTGCCGAGAAGTTTCGTCATCCGAACGGAAATGGTGGAGGTGGCGATGGGTTGTTAACAGTCTCGGGAATGGAGCAGAGACAACACGATTCGAATCTTAATTACCCGGTGTCAACATCAGACGATATTTCAGATTATGGAAGCAATGAAGATTGGCTTTCAAGGCTGTCTTCGTCAGTTAGAACTATGATGGCACCCCCTTATTCGTACTTGCTCATACCCACCCATCTATTAATGTTCGGCCTTGGAGCTCTGTGTGCGTATATATGCTACGCAAAAAAAGTTTTCAACAGATGGAGATGAACTGATAGATGTCAAATATCGAAAACAGATAGTTTTGGGATTGAAAAAAAAACATTAAACTCAATTGCAATTGTCTTTTCTGTAAATATCAGTGGCGCATGGTTCTCGATTGCGTTGCAGTGATGATTATTAAATTAGCTTAGAATAATTTTTGAAGCTATTGCTTGTTGAATAGATCATTTTACTATTTATGTTTGAATTATGATATACAAAACACTTTCGAAGGCGTTCAGGCCAAATTCGAATGATTTTCTAGATGTAAAAATGCAACAATTTTTGTCCCATGAGATGGTGCTTTCTGTGTTGATTAATTTGCAGATCCATGGAAGTAGAGTTAATATTTACTATTTGTGAATTTAATTTGAGTTATCATTTTCTGGTGTTTAAACGCACCTCCGAAGTTGAGAGCAAAACCACCGAAGTTTGATTGTGGCATCGGATTTCGCAATTTTTCTCATTATACCGCAAAAATTGGCGTTTTTCAAGGCCTTGGCAGATTTGATCTGCTTAGATGCAAGGCGAGTTAGTAAGATGGGGTCATGTTGTTTTTTTGGGTGAGACAAATCAAAACAGTCGAAGTTCGAAAAATGCCACTCGAAGTTTCAAAAAAGATAAACCGGAAAATGGAACCAGAAAACCCGTTTGGCGCGGGGCAAATATCTCAAATCCCCTCCCGTAGAAGGTGCAGCGTTCAAGGTCAAAGAAATGTCTCGATTTTTGCTCGAAACGATTTTAATTGAGTATTAAATATAGTCGCAAATTGATTTAAAAAAGTTGAATAAAGAAAGAAAAAAAAGAATTTATTTCCCGCGAGTTAAACCAAGTTTAACATGAATTCACACACTATATACTATATATTAAACCCGAGAGGACAGCAAACTCTGACCCAAGTTAGCATAATAATATGTTTTATAATCGCCAACGTTCATAAAGACACACCACAAACAAAAAAATCTACAAAAAAATTGGATTACTAAATATCCTAGCTATTGAACATTTCTTGCATTTACAGGGGAGACAAATATGGAAGGATATGTTTCAGTTAAGGCTAACAGGATTGCTTTTGGCCAAGCTAAAGCTAATTTTTAAAATTTTGGTCCTAAAATTTGCTAGAAGGCACCTGAATCCGCTTTTTATTAATTTCTGGAACTCGTTATATTTTATATTGCTGCTTCTTCTAACTGTGACATGTTCGTACAGTTTCCATAGCAACAAGGGAGTTGGTTGGAGGCTTTTTTTGGACAGATGAAGTGGACCCAAGATCGAACCTTGAGGCACACCACAGCCATTTTTATCGCAAGTTGATGAAATATCACTAACTTCTACCCGTTGATATCGGTCTCTTAAATAAATTCAAACCATTTGTAACAATTCTGTCTCAAACCATAACTTTTAATTTGATCAGGAGAGTTTAATGATTAAGGGCAAGAAAGGTATTCGATTGTTTTGAAAACTTCTCCAACAATTATTATTTTTTTTTGCAGTAAAGTGAATGGGCGCGCTCTTTATTAGGAAATGTGGAAACTCTGTCATTCAAGGTCCTGCCACTATTTGCAAAGATAACAATAAATTTTTCAGCAACATCTAAATCAGTTGGTTTGTTTTTTCCATTGTTTGAGCAGGAAAAAATAGGTGGAGTGATGCTTTGATAGCTACTTTTACCAGTTGTTTCGTTTGATAATTTATACACACGTCTGGAGTCTCCGATACATCTTTCGTAATTTGAACGATAAAATTGTCTTTTTACTGTTTATGATTTCTTTTCCTACTTTCTGACGCAGAAAGTTGAACTTTATAAGAAGTTCTGAGCTTTCTTTATTTTCTGACCAATTGCGGTGAGCTAGGTTGCGTCTGGTTCTTAGATTTTTAGTTCGTTTGGTAATCCCTTTAACATAGATCCATTTAACCTACACTTATATGATCGATACATTGATTTAAACCTTCTGGTAATGGTTTCATAGTTTTGAGTTAGTGACTTAAACTAAAAATAGATTTCCCCACTAAATTACTATCCTTAACGAAAAGATGTATCTCGAAACTGTTTTGCTTTGATGCTTTCCGGAGCGCCGTGATACTTCCAGTTTAGGAAGACTGGATAGTGATCAGTACAATTTTGTTGATCAAGAACAGAAACTGAAAAATTAGGGGTGTTTTGAGTAATGAAATGATCAATGCACGATGAAGAGGTTTCACGAATACGGGTTTCTTTATCTGGGAGTATTTCAAAATCAAAGCTATTCATTACATTTTTGTGAAAATAAACCGTCAAATTGGTTTTTAAGATATCATTTTTAAAATTCGCACAAATGAAAGCTGATGTGTCACCTGAAGTTATGTGCTCTAGAAAAGTATCGAATGTTTCAATGAAAGTCAGTTTATCATTTCTGGGTGGAGAATAAATTACTATTAGCTTGAATTTCAGCCCTCTTTCAATAATTCCGAGAACTGCTTCGCATCCAAATATACCTGGATAATTTATATCAATTATTTAAAAATTGTCTCTTACTTTAATCATAATGCCCCCGCCTTTTGAGTCGCGAACTTAAAATCATTTTGAGTAAAACCCTTTACTAAATAAATGTTCCCTCTTCTCCATCATTCAAGCAAATTTCAGTAAGGCCAAGTATAGATGGAGAAAACTCTTCACAACAATTCATTGGTTCCAATTCGTCAAATTCAGGTGAGCGAACCTCTATGTTCAGTAAGTTTATCTCACAGAGAGGTGGATTGGGGCACGCGAAAATATCTCTGTTAAAACAATTTATCACAGTATCGAAAGTAGAATTCATTGTTTTTTCCTCCTTCGAAAAGTTGATCAAGCTTGTGTACCCGTTGGTCTTCCTTCCTCTGATAATACATGCACCTTTCTCTTGTCTAGGTAGAGCCAACTGTTGAATCATTCTTCATCATGTTGAACAGTTGAGCCGCGGTTTTCTGAGACCTTCGAACACTCGCACTTGATTGAACTCCAGAATGTCTTCTAAGCCTTTTTTCGTTTTCAATAAGTCAATCTTGGCGCTGCTCTCTGAAAATCTAACGATGATAAGTCGCTATCCTTTACCACGAGAGGGAAGCCGATGAGCAATTGACATGCCTTTCATTTACATTTTGCGTTTACCGCGTTGCTCAACTCAACGACCTCTTGATGCACGAAAAGTCGTCGATTTCCACTCAGTTGGATTTCTTCGGGTAGTCCAATGACTTTCACTTTGTCTCGACGGTTATATTATAATCCAGCCACTCAGCCTTCGAAAGAGTTCACAGATTTCAGTAATGGACCTAATAATCTTCATGCTTAAGATTATGTAAACTATGTTTGAATTTTTGAACAATGGCCTATCTAACCATGTTGTAATTTTCACTTTTCGTCTATAAATATAATCCTAATATACTTAATCTGAAATATAGTTATAAAAAATAGTTCATCTGTATTTTAAAGATGGCTCAGAAGTTTTTAATCTCTTCTTTTCGTCCTAACCCACGTTATTTCCTTCTTTTTTAGGTTACTTATATCGAGGCTCATCTGATGAGCTCGAAGGCTCACTTTTTGTCCCTGGCTGAGTGCGCCTGTCATCGTTTTGTTTCCTCGATTGTATCCTCTCTGTTCGAATTCAAACTTGAAAAATACAGTGTTCCGATCTCAGTTAAACATATTTATATCGGTTAATGCTTACTTAGGCATGCACAGATGCTCAAAAGCTTAAACCTAAAAAGGCGCTAAGAAGGAAGATGATAACCAAAAGAATTAGGTAGGTTTCTAGAAAAAATGTTTTAGATAGCTTAAAAAGTTTTTCGATTTTTCGAAATTTCAGTGAACGTAATTAAGACACTGATATAGGTTGTGGTTTTTGCTCAAGAAAAAGAATTAAAATTTAATCACGTTCAAGTTTGAATTTGGCGCATTCACTTCGAATTTTTTTTTTGCAGTTGGGAAAAATAGTTAACAAGATTCCTTAATTTTTTTTGTTGAAATATGCCTGAAAATACCATCTGTTGATTTTTTTCCTGAACCCCACCTCAAATCATTCCTATAACACGATCATCAAGAGAAAAAACTTGAATTGGATTCCGGATGTTTCGAGAGAAAAATCTCAGCAGCAACTTTTTGTAATCTTTAGAAACTCGTGTTACTCAAGCGAAATTACCTGGTTACTGACCAATTCATGCTCCGGCTATTGTTTTTTCGAGCTGATGATTTTTGGAGAAGTTTTTCATGCAGTATTTCCTCTCATGCCTGTAGCTACAGGGTATTGCTTTTTTGTTAGAGCGCATATAAAACGATCTGCTAGCTTGCGTTTTATTCTAGCCAATTACGATGATTGCACGGAAGATAGGCTTTCTTATTGGCATGTGAGGCTATTGATTGGACTCTGGTTTTGATTCTTGGCGTATGCAATATTACGCCGTTGAATACTGACACAGGTTTTCTTTGCTTTTGTATGTTTGGGTAAATTTGTAAATTTCGGTCTACTGGTGTCTGCTCAAGTGTTGTCTGCTTAGCTTCACCTCTGTATAAATAAATCAAATAATTTGTTTAATAGATGAAAAAGCCGATATTTTCCTGTTCTGACGCCCCTATGGTACGTAAGCTCACTTCTTAAGAATTATCGTGCAAAAAATTATTCTAAAGAACGCTTTCGTTATGTTGAAGAATTTTGAAAGTCTAGATGCTCAAAGAATTTGATTGTTGACGAATAAATTCACTTCCTTTTCTGTTCTGTAAAATAATAACAAAAAAGCATTTCGAATCAGCGCCAAAAATTGATTTTGTGTGAGTCTTCACTCTATTTGTCGAATTGATGCATGTTCGTGTTTGAAGTCGTAAGTACATTGATTTTGAATTGAATTTCCAGTTCTGACATGTCTGAGGCTGGTCCTGCTGATACTTCGGCTAATCGTTCCAACAGATATGTTGAAAAGGAAGATGAAGATGACTCAAATACATTCAAAGTTCTGATATCAACTGATAACCATCTAGGCTACAATGAAGAGTGTCCCATCCGCTGCAATGACTCGTTCAACACTTTCGAAGAGGTTCTCCAGTTGGCGCAAAAAGAGCAGGTATAATTTTTAGGACTTTTTTCGAGTAAGTTTCCGAATCTTCAGCCAAATTTAAATGCATGCACTGCTGTACGAGAATGAGAAGCCAATTTTTCCGCGATAGATATCAGAAAAACTCGAATATTTTTTTTTCGAGAAAGTTTGTCGTGTAAGGAATCCGATATTTTGAGCTTAATGATCTACTGTAGAAAATCGTTTTTACTCCCTTATTATTTTTACACCCGTAAACCTTTTATTTTATTTTATTATTGAACCTTAACAACTTCCAGTTTCCTTTCCACTTGAACTGGAGCTAAAACTGTTGCTTTTGCTCCCGAAGGTCTCAATTTCGAGTCGTGGTTCCTGTTTTTTTTTTTCAGTATGTATAAAATTGGAACTTTTTTCCCATAAAAATTGAATGGGGGACTTTCGTTTGTCTGTTCAAGTTTTGTCGGCTTAAGTGCCAGACCACGGATGTTTCTTTTGCTGTAAGCTTGTATCATGGTAATTTCAAGTGTTGCTCTTTGTAGTTTCTGGGGGACTTGAACGTTTTCATAATTTTTTTGTAATAAAATAAATATTTTATCGGTTTAACTGGTTTCGGTTTGAGATTGTGCTATTTGTTTCCACTTCGTTTCTTTTGTTGTGTTGCTAATTGCCCTCGCGATAGCAAGGGTATTTCAATCGAGTTCTAGACTTTTTCCCCGTAAACAATTTTGTCCACACTACTCAAATATCCGTCTTTTCAAAATTTGCTTTTTATGTTGGTTGTGATTTTTCCAACTCGATTGTTAAATTTTATATTGTGCTTTTTTGTCCTTTTTATATCGGCTTAGTGGCCTAATTTTGAGTAGTTTCAAGAGAAAAGTAGTTTTTATGCTCACCTCTGGATCGCACAAAATGTTGAAAATCTTAATAGAAATTAGAGTTCAAGTTTTTCATGACAACAATTTTTTGTTGGCTGTTTTGTTTTTTCTTTTTTTCGGCTTCATGAGTTTCGGCCTATATTATATCGGTTTAATGGTCGCATATTGCCCCTTTCGATGAATGAAAATTTTTCTGTGTGCATGTTTGTGTTTAGAGGGCGAGGGGGACTTAATAACTTCTTATCAGTCTTAAAAATTTGATTTTTTTAAGTTTTTTCTTTCGGCTTGATAGGTTTTGGTCTATATTACATTGGCTTAGTCGCCACTTTTTGAGTCGTTTCACGAGATGTGTTTTGTATGTGTTTTGAGGCTGAAGGGGACTTAATAACTTTTTAGTAGTCTTAAATTTTTTTTTGCCTCGTTTTTTTTTGTTTTCCTTTTTTTATAGGTTTAGGCCAATATAATATCGTCATAGTGGCCGCATATTCTTTCATTTGGCGCGTGAATATAGATTGTGTGTGTGTGTGTGTATTTGTGTTTTTTTATGTGTGGGGGACTTCATATTTTAAAAAAATTCGGCCTAAGGGTTTCTGCTAAGGTATTTCCTGCTTTGTTACCGCGTGATAACTTTTCTCTCGATGCTAGTTTCACATTCTTTTGTCTTGGCTCGTTGTTGTTTCTAACATAGCCTTATCGATAGATCTAGTTCGAAATTTTCGATTTTTTGTGCGGCTTTTCTTGTTTCGTATTGCAAGTGGTGCGAAGCTCAGCTTCGTCCCTGTGTTTAAAATTCAAATGTCTTACTTGGCTCGTTTGCCTAGAAATCACGTTTGATAATAATAGGTATTATAAAAATTAAATAATAGATTTTATGAAAAGTTTTTGTTCTTCTCAAAATTGTTCTGTTGAATTTCAAAGAGAGGGTATCAAAGGAAGACCGCCTACTCCCCTGTGTACCTGCTTAAACCCCTATTCTCTTTTTATTTTGCTTCATCTCTATGTTTTTCTTTCAATAAGTTGTTTCGAGTTTTTTTGTTTGCGCAAGCAAAGCGAAGTGTATTATTACCAAGAATTTTTTTCTAACCTAAGTCACAAATAAAAGTGCTCATTTGGAGGCAATTTTGGTATCTTTCAATTTAATCATAATATAAAAGCCTTTTTAAGAATAAGCAATTTAAAAGCATATTTTGCTGCTTTTTTGGCTTGTGTAAGGTACTGTTTGAAATAAACAGGTATAATGAAAATTTTTGTGCATTGATGTCTTTTGTTGTTTGTGCATTGATGTCTTTTGTTGTTTTTTGGCGAAGTTTTGGAAATTTTGTGCCTTTTTCGCAGAAATTTAAAATTTTCTCGTAAACTACTGAACCAATTTTCAAAAACAAGGTACCAATAGTTAAGCCTGCTGCTCTTCTATGTGCCTGCATATTTCGCTAGTCTCTTTTCAGTTACCCCACGTTCTACGGCCTTCGACATTTTCTGTAAATACACAAATCAGAGATGAGGGTTTCAATCAATAGAACAATTATGGCCTCGAACAAGCCCATTTCATTAATTTTTAAAACTTTTTGACTTTTCTCAAAAACTGGTCAGCCAAATCGGAGCTTACGGGTTAACCGAAAAAGAAACAGTCAGTTATGCCAATCTTCTCTGCGCAAAAGGCTATGCCCTGTGTTTTGAAAAAAAAGTATGGCCTTAGACAATTCTGCAGGAATTTTTTGGAAACTTATTCTTTTATTTCAAAACCAACCTGTTGATTCTGAAGTAATAGTTCATTAAAACTAATATGGTCCTTAGGTTTTGCTTGTGCAATATACTTAATTATTGAAAAAAAGACGACTTCGGTAAGACGACTCCTTAAATACTGTAGGAAAAATGTTATATTCATGGGAAAATTACGTATTTCATGAATTTTCATTCTTACATGTTTTAGTAGAGAAACAAGGTTGGTTAAAATCCAATTTTTGAATTTCGCATTTCTTCCCGAATCAATATAGCAATTTCGAAAAAAAAAAACGTTTAACTCGTACCTCCTGCTGGCCCCCTAGTTATCTTTTATCGAGACATAAAAATGGTGGGTCACCTAGTTTCTTTTTCAACATTTCTCTTTTTTTTTAGTTCTTACGTGTTTGTTTGTGTTGTATCATAACACCTCTGTTTCACCTTTGTGTCAAAATTTAAGTGGAAATAAAACATTGTTAAAAACATGACTGCCTGAATCAGGGAAAGTTCTATGATATTCTGACTGCTTTTTAACGTTTCTGATTTAGTTTTTGACAAAAAAGTTGCGTTTTTTTCTTTATTTTTGAATTCTTCTGATCACACACAATGTCAAACACAAAATCACTAATTTGGCGTCTAATAAAGGAATAACTGAATCAGTTTCCTAATTTTAATTCAATTCAGATTGATTTCTGGGCCGGATTATTTTGCTGCCATTGCTTCAATAGAATATGAGAAAATACAATCAGCGAGCTCTCATATTCTGCAAGAGTCGGTCACCAATTACATATTTTGTTTCATTTTGAGCTCAAGGCATGATTTAGAATTTAGAATAAAGAAAGGCATGATTTAAAATTTGGTAAATGAAAAGTCGAAGTTTGTCTGAAGAAAAAAAACAACACCGAGTACAAATATCTTCAAAAATAGGGAAAACAATACCCTAATCCAGTATCGAAATTTATTCCCTCTAAACTGACAAAGGAGTGTAAGATACATTCTAGTTGTGAAAAAAACTTATAATTTTACAGGCACACGCTTGTGTTAAATTACTAGTTGAATTTTTTCAAGCCTTTGTCATACATTGTGTTTTTGTAATCAGGTTTGTTGTTTCGACTCGAAGAAAATGTCTAATTTGCTTTGCTCGGTGACTTTCGTTTCCAGTCAATTTTCGAAATTTTGTAACCGAAATTTTGTGAAGAATTTTATTATACCATAATCTGGCTCAGAAATCTTAAGAGGCAAGCTATTTGGTTTAATTGATTACCCTTGCGATAAGCAAGGGTATTGCAACCGGGTACTAGACTTTTTCCCCTCGTAAACAACTTGGACCAGAGGACTCATCTGGACGTCAGGACTCATCGCTACCTTGTTTTATAATGTATTCAAATTTCTTAGCGTTCCTGGCCAACTTAGCCTGGAGGGAACGAATATGCCTGGGACGGCAAAGGTCCTGGGCTCGAATTTCAAATAAAATTGTCGGCCAATTATTTGTCTGCTTAACTGTTGTCGGCTTATTTGTCACATCTTGAAAATATTTTGTTTTCTGCGCTTATTTTTGTTAAATGTTGTTTTTAGTGTTTGATTTACACCTACATTTCGTGATTTCATATACTTTTTATTCGTTTTTCCTGTCATGTTTTTTTTCTGTTTCGCTAAAAAAATTCATCGGACCAAATTTTTTTGGCTCATTTTTTGCTGACTCAATGACCTAATTTTCGGCCGTTTCAATTTTCGGCCGTTTTTAGCACTCCCCTCCGTTTTTTTCAAGTTGTTTTTGAAATTTCATTTTTTCGTTTTGGAAAATTTTTTCAGTTATTTCAAAAATTAAAATTTTCTCAAGAACTTCATCAAAAAAGGGTATCAATTGAAAGACGTTCTACTTCTCTGTGTGCCTCCGTACTCCCCAGAGTCTTTTTTTACTTGACCCCCTCTGTCTACAGCCTTCGAAAAGGTGTGGGGGATTGTTTGAACCATATTTTTGATTTTCTTTCATTTTCTCGAAAACTACCTCCTCTCAAATATGAGTTTTTGGTTTCCATGAATTGAACTGTTTTGAAAAGCTACTCTGCATCAGTGGCTGAGACCAAATTTTTTTCACATAAAGTTATGGTCCTCTGAAAAGTCAAATTTTCGATTTTTGACCGGTTTTAAACTTTTTGAATATTCTTGGAAACTACCCTGTCATACCTGAGATAGCGGATTCAATTCTCAAAACGGGTTTCGGGAAGCTCATTTGCTTATGCGACTACGCCCAAATTTTTTTCATTTCAAAAGTTTTGGCTCTCGAAAAAGTAAAAATTTTGAATGTTTTTTTCTTTTCTTGAAAACTACCCTCGCAAATCTGAGATTTTGGGTTCAATCGAAATTACCGGTTGCATGAATACTTTTTGCATAAAATTTTTGTTTAATTTTTCCGAACAAAAATCTATGATTCTCTGAATTGTCAAATTTTTGGTTTCTTGGCCGTTTTCTAGATTTTTCTCGCTAACTATCCTGCCAAATCTGATATTATAGGTTGAATCGAAAGAACAGGTTGTTTAATGCCTACCTTTATAATTGGCTATGCCCAGTTTTTTTAGGAAAAAAGTTACGGCCTTCAAACAAATCAAAGTTTTGAAACTTTGACAGTTTTTAGGAAACTTTTTGACTTTACGCGAAAACTACCGGGCCAATTCTCAGTTTGTGTTCAATCGAGGAACCCGGCGTTGGAAATCTTGTCTGCTTAAGCGGAAAAACTTTATGGATTTCGGAAATCTTGAACGTTTTGTAGAACTTTCGACCGATTTTTGGTAGCTTTTTGAATTTTCTTAAGAATTAGCCAATCAAATTTGAGATGAAATGTTCCATTTAAAGAATGGGTTGCGATAAATGTTTGTGTAGAAGCGGCGATTCTTGAATTTCTTGTGTGAAAAATTTATCTCCTTGGGAAAATTGTTTATCTCAAAATTTCTTCCTCTTCTCACTAATTTTAGTAGAGAATCAACTAACGTTTTAGAGGCAAAGCCAAATTTTTGAAATCACCCTTTTTGTGCCGCATCAGTAGAGAAAATTAATATCAAATACGTGCCTCCAGCTTTAGCTAGGCTCGTAGTTGATTTATCGAGACATCCGAAAATTTTGGTTCGCAAGTGTTTCATGTTTGTGTTGCATCGCAAGTGGTGCGAAGCTCCGCTTCGCCTCTTTGTTAATTAGTTAGTATGAAGTAAATAGCTTTTTCAACATAACGAGTAATGGGAAGAGTAAACAAAATATCTTTCAAAGTTTTAACATTCTAATGACGTTTTTTTTTCGTGGTTTTCAAAAAGTATCACTATTTCAAATCAAAAACTACCTCATAGACCTTAATGTGATGTCGGAAACTCCAGTTGCGCCCTGATACGGGTAGTATTGTTGAAGTATATGCATTCAAACCAGCGCTTGAGTACAATCGGTTCTAAGGATATTAATATTGGCTATCACGATTTTCCGAGTTTCGAAGAAAGTGAATGGTTTAAGCTATGGTTTCTTTTCAGTCAAAGCTCTTTTTTAATTGGCTGATTTCAGAGAATTTTTATGCCATCCAAAATGGTCCACTCACTGCCCTAAAATTTAAAAATATTATTTACCTGCGATCGTTTTCGTAAAATGATGGGGCTTAAAATATTGACATTTGGGATAAATAACGCATTTTTATTTCCTTCTATAAATGCAAAAGCGGTGAGTTCATTCCAAATTCAAAAAAATTCCACTTCGAGTGAGAGGGTTGTTCGAAAAATTGAATTTTTTTCTAGTTTTTATCAATTGTTTTCGGTCAAAGTTTGAAGTTAGTTGTGAACGCACGCAATGATTCGGTTTCCACATACCATTTATTGTGCAAGCATCAAAGATGAGCTTATCTTAGTCATCAAGACTTCCCAAAATTCCTAAATAGAGTTGGGCTTTGTCGGTTTGCAGGTTGACTTTGTGTTGCTGGGTGGGGATCTGTTCCACAAGAATAAACCCTCTCGCAGATCTCTTTTCAAGTGCATAAATCTTCTCAGGAAGTACTCACTGGGAAACAAACCCTGCTCCTTCGAGCTACTCAGTGACCCCAATCAGGTCAGTTTAAGGACGGGGCAAACCAATTTCAAGATCAAGATACGTTTGTCTAAAAGAACAACTCCGAGCTTAGCGGTGTTTCTCCTTTATTTTTTCAGACCAAAATTGACCAAAGGTTTATACAGTGCTGATTTAAATTAACCGGACAAAACGAGCTAAACTTGAAATTTAAGATGCATTTTTCTCAAATTCGGTTGAGTTTAGATGAAAACTTATGAAGACAAAACTTGCTTTAACTTTTAGCAGAATTAATATGACGTAATTTGTTTTGCGAAATTCGGGCCCGAAATTTAACCCCAAAAATGGGTCATTTTGGCTTTTCTTAGTTAATCAAAAATTACGCCAAAATTTCCCAGTCAATCACAGACACAATTATTTCAAAATGAGGCCCTAACGTAACCCAACAAACTTTAAGAAGGGTATATTCTCCAAAACATATTATAAGTTAATTTATTTTTGTTTGATAGACAAAAAAGGTCGTTTTTTACTATATAAAATACCATACTTTTTATTTAAAAACAATTTTTAAGCGGTTTGCAATTTTTTTTGGAGAATAATCCTTCTGAAAGTTTGTTGGGCTACGTAAGGGGCTCACTTTGATATAACTATGTCTGTGATTGACCGGGCAATTTTGGCGTAATTTTTGAATAACTATGAAAAGCCAAAATGACCCATTTTTGGGGTACAATTTCGGGCCCGAATTTCGCAAAACACATAACACCATATTTATTCTGCTAAAATTTTAAGCAAGTTTTGTCTTCATAAGTTTTCACCTAAACTCAACCCAATTTGAGAAAAACGGGTTTTAAATTTCAAGTTTAACGCGTTTTGTCCGGTTAATTTAAATCAGGACTGTATAGCTTATAAAATGATTATTATGGTTTTAATTAAATGACTGGAGAACAAGAACAAAGTTTTTCATTCAGAAGTTCATAGTATTCTTCTTGAAAATGATTCGGCAATATCAAAAAATGAATGCAAAACATTCTATTGGCGATGAATATATTTTTTCTTTTTTTTGTGCTTAGACTTTTCCGCACTCCTCTTTTCCATGGCTTAATACAGAAGATTCGAATTTGAATGTGGGCATTCCAATTTTTTCCATAAATGGCAATCACGACGACCCCACTGGATCCGACAACCTATGTGCACTGGACATCCTTAGTGCCTCGGGACTAGTGAACTTCTTCGGCAAGGTTTCCCAACTGGACGAAATTAATATCAGCCCTCTCGTATTTAGAAAAGGTATCATTGCAAAGTATATTGTCTATATGGAATAAAAGAGTCATTTCTCGATTATCAATTAAAGTGACATCGCAAATTTCGTTTAAACGCATCGCTTTTATGTATTGCTAATGAGAAAATGTCTTGTCGTAAAGTGGATTCAAATTCAGAAGATGAAAACTTCGATGTTTGATCCAGGAAACAGCAAACTCTGTCTGTTTGGCTTGAGCTCCATCCGCGACGAGCGACTGCACCGTATGTTCAGAGGCGGCAAAGTGAACATCCTCTTTCCCGAACATCAGGAGTCAGAGCAGGAGAACTGGTTCCATTTGATGGTGCTGCACCAGAACCACGCCAGACACGGACCCACAAACCACATACCGGAGTCATTTCTCCACCCAGGACTTGACTTGGTCAGTACAAAGAACTTTAAAGTACCCTTTTGAAAATCATGTGCTCCTTCATTACTGTAAAATTGTCTTAAAATTATACCCCCAAAGCCTTCAAAAACTCCCGAAAATGAGTTTTGACATAACTGAACATCTGAGAAAGTTGAACAATTTTTCAACCGAAACAATTTCTGTTTGTAATCTTGCTTTTTTTAATAGTATTATTCATTAAATTATTCAGGTAGTGTGGGGGCATGAGCATGAGGCCATGGAAAAACCCATCTACAATCCCTCTCAGGACTTCTACGTTCTACAGCCCGGAAGCAGTGTGGCAACATCCCTGTCGCCGGGCGAGGCAGTCCTTAAGAACTCCTGGATCCTGCACGTTCGCGGAGACCAGTTCAAAGTAGCTGTTGTTATTTTTAATCTATTGTTTGGCCTAATTTTAGATGGATAATAAACAAAAACCGCCTTGTCTGCAAACCGCCATATCTTCAAGCCGAAATTTCAGAATAACGTAAATTACATAGAATTACGTAAGAATTGCATAACAACAATGACAATCTGTTGTTATGTTGCATTCTGTTGTTAGGAGGCACTTAGCACAGTGGTAAGGCGTTCACTTTGAAATCGTCAGATCGTGTATTCGATCCCATGCCATGGCAATGATAGTGTGTGAGGACAAGCTCTCACTTGACCTCCAGCTTCAGGTCTACCACATCCTGACCAAATTTGGCTGCAATAGTGGTACCACGTAAAAGTTCTAGACGCAAAAAAAACGGCCTTGGAGTCACAAAAAACAGCTTCGCTCAGCAAAATAACACTGTCTGGAATGTGGGGAGATACAAATGGACTATCCTCGGCAGGACTGTTAAGGCCTACTGATAGCTCCTCTGCGATTCGCAGGAACTACAATTATAATTATAATATTAATTTTTGGCTTGTTGGAATGGCAATCCTATTTTCGGTTTTTTGTTTCCTCGGCTTGTTCGCCTACCACCTAATTTTAATTAAAGGTTTATTTAGTGGCGCTTTGAACTTCTCAAAAGTTTATCTGATTTTGCATAGTATGACGGTTCAAAAACTTGTTTGCTAAATCTGACAGAAGCGTACATACTTTGAAACAATTTTATCGAGTTGTTTTTATTTTGTTTTCTGGAAATCTCCTAGCTGTAAACAAAAATATTGTGATAATGTCAAACTGACGGAAACAAATCAAACCAAGATGTATGACATGTTCAGTTAAAGTTCCTCAGTGGCACAAAATCTTCAAGAATGAACAAAGCCAATATTTAAAGCACCCTTCCTCATTAATGTTCACCTAATATAGACTTCGTTATAGGCTGACAAAGTGCCTCTGCAGACCGTGCGGCCATTTGTGTTTCGAGATTTGAACCTGTTCGAGGAGTCTCAGATAGACAAGCGGAAGCCCAAGAGCAAAGAGAAGGTGAACAAGTTCTGCTGTGACATAGTGCAGCAGATGCTGGATCAGGCCAAGTTACAGCACACTGGACATCCCGTGAGTCTGTTAAATTATGTTGCTTTCTTGCTTTCATTAGCCCACGTTGGTCGGGTTGGGCTCGTCCGTCTCCAGGTTAAGGAACTTTGCAACTTCCACCGGCCAAAGCCACAGGTCTGCGGGAGTGAGTGGGGAGGGATTCTTGGGGCAGTTAAAAATGTGGCAACTAGAGTGGGGTGCTAGGTGAAAGTCCGGGCATAGTGGGGAAACTTTGTTGTCTAGTCGGGAGAGGCAGGCGCGGATTTAGGGGGGGGGGGGCGGACGCCCCCTCCCCCTCAGGAATTCGACCCCCTGCCGACCTAAAGGGCCAAAGGGTCCCCCTTTGGTACTTTTTAAGAAATCCATTTTTGGCCGACCGACCTTAAAATTTTTCTAAAGGAGCCTTCGGCGCCAATATATACTTATTTTGAGGGGGGAGCGCGCGCTGAAAAAACGCCAACAATATTCCAAAAAGTGCCTAAAAATGCCTTTTTTGGACTTTTTTTTTTCAAAATTCGCCAATACAGGGAGTAACTGTGCTTAGGGAGAGCTCGAAAAATGAATTCTTCGGGTCGACCAAAAAAAAGGTCGACAAAATTTTCGAAATTTTCTTGAAAATCCGCCCCCCCCCCCCCCCCCCTCGAGAAAGTCCTAGATCCGCCCCTGGGGAGAGGTATGTGTTTAAAAGCCGGCTGTAACCAGACGGGAGTTGGGAGAGTTTACAGCGGGTAGTTCTGGGGAGAGATTTTTCTGCGGGGTCGACCTTATGTTGCTTGACTGATTCTCTCAAGATCGTTGTTTGAAGTGATTCAAAATGCAAACATTTTTGTCATCACATGTTCGAGCGTGTGGACTATACGCTTCGGTTTTGTATAATTTGAAAAAGAAAGAAAAAATCTGAAAATTAACGATTTGGGAATGTTTTAATAGTTCATTTTGCTCTATCTGTTAGATGCAACCAGTGGACAAGCCTCTATTGCGCCTTCGAGTGCACTTTACTGCAGACGGCCAGTCTGCCTTGAATGACGTCACTAACAATGGTTCCGGCGGAGATGCTCCCCTGAACTTAGCTATGTTTGGTAGACAGTTTCTGGATCGGGTGGCCAATGCAAAAGATCTAGTGACACTTCATCGCAAGACTGAACAGGAGGCAAGAGCCAGGAATGCGTTAATGAAGAGTAAGAGTGTTGATTTTCAGTTCATTTTTTGAGTTTCTAGTTTGTAGGTTGAGTTTCTAGTTTATAGATGAGTCCGCAAATACGGATTTAGCAAAGGAAAACAGTATGCGTTTTTTGTTATCTGTGTTTGTTGGACCATCGGGAAAATGATGTGAGCCATCTATTTACTTTTTTCTGACACCTATTTGTCTGAGTTTAATTCGAAGATTTTGTGCACGATTTTGCCTCAAAACAAGCGATCATGATTCTTCTAACTCTTTTGGAAGTTCAGCAGAAAACTAAATTGTCGAAACTGAAGTTTGTAGGTCAACATCGTGCGCTGGCTACCAAATTACCCTTTAGCCATCGTGAACTTTTTTTGTTCAGTAAAGTAAATTATTGTTGCTTCAAATATTTAAAAGCAACTAACAATCTCACAGGTCTGGGTTCCGACATGCGAGATGCCATGAGCAGTTCAGTAATTGAGAACAACTCTGTGAATCTACACACGACAGTCGTGGATCTTGTGAAGGAGTTCTTCCACTCGGCAGATGAGAGTGAGCACAAGTACAAACTGTCCGTACTGACCGAGACTGGACTATCTCTGGCTACGCAGGAGTACGTAGAGAAAGAGGAAGCGACGGCACTGCACTCTATCGTGAAGCACCAGATCAAGAAAACTGTGCAATATACTGTGTAAGAGTGGATCTACTTAACAGTCCCAGTCCCGTGATATGTAATCTCGAAACGAATCGAACTACCAGCAAGGATATTCGGTTGCTGTGCAAGTAGCACAGAAAGATCCGACCACAATAATGAAACAGGGATAGCCGGTTACTGTGCATGTAGCACCGAATGTTCCGCTCATAGTCTTAGAAATACAAAACGTTTTTTTAAGAGTAATGAACGTAGTAAGACTCTTATATTGGTCTTGCTGATTGTTGTTTTTTTTTTCAGGAAAAGTCTTAAAATATTGATGCACTTAAACATATATGCACTTTTTGAGTTCAATTGAAATTCATCTGCTGAAAGTGACGTAAATAGCACTCTCCAAATACAAACGTGCAAGTGGCGAAAAAATTAGTGAGCGATTTCTAGTTTCGAAAGTGGAATTTAATTATTCGGTTTCCTGTGGAATAAAAACTTTATCTGTTGATCCAGTTTTCTCAAGTTGAGTTAATGTCATCAAAACAGCGCCAATCATAAATTGTTGTAGAAATTCAAAGAGGTTAAAGGACATCTTTTTTCTTTGAAATTCGAAAGTTGAGATTTTTTCAACAAAGTCAGTGTTTTTATGCTCACTTGCGTTCATTACTCTTTTCCAATCTTTGATTGGCTATGTTTTCAAATAAGTGTCGTTTTTTTCGGTGCGGGATGAAAAAAGGATCTGAGCGAAAAACAAGAGAATAGGCATATTTGACAGTCATAGTAAAATAAGCAGTTTGAAAGTTTTTTTTTTGAAAAATGGCTCAAAAATCAAAAAATAATTCAAAAAAAAGTTTGAAATAAGCTGTTAGCTGTTGTAAGCCTGCTTGCAAATCAACTAAAAATAAAAAATTTCAAACCTGTTTTTCTCGACACTGGAAACGACTGTAAGGACTTTAAAATGTTATATCACTCAACGCTCTCCGATGGTTATTTGTGGTAGCTGATTTTGCGTGGAAAACATGAAAAAGTATATAAAAAAAATAAAACACACCCGAATACAAAGTTCTTCCTCAATTTTCAAATGGTCGGAACAGAAAAAAAACGAAATAAACCGTTTCTTTTTTTTCAGTTTGTGTCATTTTTGAGTGATGTGATAGAGGAGCTGAACGAAAGCCTGGAACTTAAGTAATACGATAATTACTACCCTTGCGATAAGCGAGTGTATTGCAATCGGGTACTAGACTTTTTTCCTTTAAATAACTTTGTTCACAGGACTCTTTTCATCTGGAATGATTTCCTGGAACACTCTCTAAGCAACAAACTTACCGCTACTGAAATGCTACCATGCACCGGTAAAGTGCATTTTAACCTTTAAAATAGCTGTTCTTTCGACATTTTTCGTTGTAATTTTACCAAAGCGATTTGCTAAAATTTCATCTTTTGTTTTTCGGCTGGATAATTTTCGACCTATATTGTATCGGCTTAGTGGCCTCATATTGCTTTATATCGTATGACATGGGAAAAATTTTGCGTGTATGTGTTTTGAAGGTGAGGAGGCCTTAATAACATTTTATTAGTCTTAAATTTTTGTTTTTTTCTTGGCTTAAGTTTTTGCGTCGTCGTTCGACCAGTGTAAAAGTCTTTTGTGTGAGTGTGTGTGTGTGCGTGTTTTGAGGGTGAGGGGGGCTTAATAGCTGTTGTTTTTAAGCCCCCCCCCCTCAAAAGGTTATTTTTCCTCTTTTTTGGTGTAATATGTTTTGGCTATACTAAATCGGCTCAGTAGCCGCGTATTGTTTCATTTGTCTTGCAAATAGAGTTTGTATGTGTGTGTTTTTTTTAGGTTGAGGGGGACTTAATACATTTTTATAATTCTTGATTTTTTTTCGGCTAACAGGGTTTCTGCTAAAGCATTTTCGGCTTTATTGCAGCTTGGTAAGTTTATTAATGTTTTTTACATGGTATAATCTTGGCACATTTTTTCCCAAAGGTAGCCTTATTCATTTTGATAGATCTAGTAAATCTAGTTTTGTTTGTCATTTCAGATTTTTTTTGGATTTGAGTCTTTGTTTTTATTTGTAGCGCATATGATAGTAAGCTCAGCTCCGCCTCTGTGTACTAAATACGGTATATTTGGCAATCATTTTCCGTGAATGATGAAAAAATATAAAATAAAAAAAATTACAATGATTTTTTTTTTGGTTGGAGTTTTTTTTCTGATAAATGCACTCAAACAAACTTCGAAAACTAATTATACTGGAGGAAAACTAATTTTTCACGGCTTAACTTATGAATTAGTTTATTATATGTCTAATGTAAAACCTACTCGCTCAGTTAACTCGCTCGAAATTAAAAACTCTCAAACCGATCTTTGTCACACTGGTATTTTTTTGAGTTTTTTCAACGTTGTTCAAATCACTTACTGGTTTTTGAATATAATAAGTCATTCGACCCTTCCGATTTTTGTTTGTGGTACCTGATTTGCGTGGAAAAAATGAAATCAACCGAAAGGCAAAGTCCCGCCCCACTTTCACGAATTGATTGTAGTGCACGTATTTTTTAGAACGAAAACAAATCCATGGACAAGATTGGTAGACATTTTTGAACAAACACCACAAAGGATTTGATTTGCTAACGTTTTTCATTCTGATTTTCATGCCTGGATTCCAAACAATTCGAAAGGAAATTTGGCTTAGTGTTTTTTTTCGGCAATTTTTAAGTGTCTAAGGAAAATTTACAGTGGGTCAAATGGTTTATCATATTAAATTCCTGTTGGTCGTGATTTGGTTCCTAAAAATTTAAAGTTGTCTCAGTGTCTTGAAAAGTTGTCTGAAATTTTGCGTTTTTCAGACTAAATTACACAAATGAGTGAGTTTGCCATATATTTTCTCTGCATTTAACGTGTTTTTACTCTACAATCCATCCATTTTAGCTGGATATTTTCATTTTCAACCATCTCTTTCGATATGCAAAATTTGAAAGCAAATTTGACGAAAAATAAAAACCAGTTTTTGTTTTGTTTTTGCTTTGTAAATTGCTTTACGTAGATCACTTCAGTGGGAACATAATGCATTACATCCACAGCAACCGGCCTTTGATACTTATTTTCTAAAACTGTGCCGTTTATTCTCTAAAAGTAAGCTTGGAAAATTAGAAATGGTTTTAATTGGCTGCATTTATTTTTGCTTACTGATTATCAAAAACGTAATCAAAGTTCTTCGGGGAAAAACCAAAAATTTTTAACATATGAAAATCTCAGATATAGTGTTTGAATTGGTGAAATTAAGGAAGAAGAAAGTGCTAGCTGACGTTTTTATACAAATAAGCCAGTTAGGATAGTGTCATATTTCGAATCTAATTTTTCCCAATCTAAGTCGCGAAGAAAAGTGCTTATTTGTTTGGTGGCACTTTGCAGCCATGGCAATAAATCTCTTTTTTTTTCTTGCAAGATTCCGGAGCATTAGTAGAGTTTTCATTAGTTTTCCTCTCCTTCGTTTTTTTTTAAACTCTTGGACTGTTTTTTTTTAGCTCCTGGTTGCAGTTTTCTCGCTTGTGTTTATGAAGTGCAGCTTTACTTCTGTGTTGAAATTAGCGTGTTACAGCTAAAACTTTCAGCAGCTTAATTATCAGATTTTTGCTGCGCTGCTTGCGGATTTTATTGCTGTAAATTGAACTAAAATGCAAAAAGTTTTGAACCGGTTTTGTCAACAAAAATTGTGGTTATTTTGAAATATTGTTCAAATGATGACTTAATGGATTTATTGCAATACATAATTCGACCCAATTTGACCTGTGTTTGTTTTACATGAATTTACGGGAAAAATACCAATGCACAGCCGAAAACAAAGTGACTTCCAATTTTCAATGGTCGGAATGGTTCATAACTAATCTGTTTCAGTGATAATTTGAAAGTAACTCCAGATGACGACTCTCAGTTTGAAGACGAAATAGTGAAATACAGAAAAGACAGGCTCGTCAAAGCCAAAGAACTGCTGCAAAAAACAATGAGTCAAACTAGTTCGACCAACATGACTACTGGTTTAGAAGACACAAAAATAACAGAATCTCAGCAAGAGGCTATAGCCGAATTAGCAGAGGCGTTGAAGCACCACAAAGACGATAAGTCAGTGAAGGAAGAAATCGACCTCACAACTCTGATAGACGACGAAGATCAAGAGGAATACAAGAAGATCCTGGAATCCACCCGGATCCAGAGTCGAGGAGCTGCATCAGCTAGAGGATCAAGAGGGAGGGGAAGAGCAAGAGGGGCGAAAACCTCGACATCGGGGTCATCTAGCCGAGGTATCTCTGGTAGAAAAGTGGGAAACAACAATACTCTGGATCTGACAAAAATTACAGTTCGTCTATATAAACTCTTTTTTTTTCTACTTGAGCCTTCATTTTTTGTGACCACCTTTTAACCCATTTTTATCCTCCCCTCAATTTGCTAGCTTTTTGAGACATCTTAAGCCGTACACTAAGATTTTGTCTAAGAGTTCAAACTGTAGTTGAGATTTTGAATATGTTTCTAGAGCAATAAGACCCAGTCTAAATTGCAATTGACAAACGATGATCCAGAAGAGGATGCGGATGTCTCATCTTTCTTGGGAGGCAGAGCTTCAAAGAGGTCGGCAAAAAGAACAGCTGCTAATATTCATGCAAACGGATCAGATATTGATGATCAAGACGATGACGAAGATGGCAATGATTTCACAACGGGAAAAAACGACAGAAGAGCAAAAGATGAAAGTCAAAATGTGTTCAGCAGAAGAATGACTGCTGTTATGCGAAACACTTTAAGTGCCAATATGACTGCATCTCCGTCTAATATATTCTCTGGGTCAGAGCGGAGTTCAACATCGGGAAATCAAGCAAAACTTGCTCGACGTTTTTGAGTTTAGGCATATAGATGTTATTAACTTGGGATTTGTTTTCGTTCGGATTTATGTTGAAAGGCCACGTGATGAGTCTGCTACAGAAAATTGGGCACGTGATGAATCTGCTGCATAAGGTTCACAATTAAGTTTTGAGGAATTGGTATGATAATTGTTCAAAAAGGGTTTTTCTAATTTTAGTATTCAGGAAGTACGAAGACAATTACCTTATGGTAGGTAGAATGTGCTTGGCATTACATCGAAATAAAAATATACAATATTACTGCACATTCAATAGTCATGTTTCTGTTCGCAAATAGAAGCAAGTCCATGTCCAGCAAACGTCCTAGGTCATCTTCGTTTTTCCTATTACCAGCACAGTTTCAAATTTTCACTACATTCAGAAAAAAGTTAAAATACATTTACCTTAAAAATACTTTAAAACACGTTAACAATTAAGGTTAGTTTGCACTACCTGAAGGACAACTCAACTTATCTATGACTCCTTAGAAATTTATCTCAAATCACCTGACAATATCAGGCTTATCAGACTTATAAAGTAGCTTAAAACTATTTATACTTGCGAAGCCAATGTATTAGAACGAACCTTCTTTTTTCCAACAAATCGCAAATATTTGCTGCGACTTTTGGGGCACCTTTACATTTTTTTCATGACATTTGCTTTGACATTCAAAAAGTAATAATTTCAAATCAACCGGAAAAAAATGTTTGTTTTAAACAACAACAATAATGAAAACTCGGTTTCAGAAATTTTCTAACTCAATATATCTCGCAATTTTTTGAAATACTTAATTTAAACATAATGTGGCTCTATGCTTTGCGATTTGTTACATGCAAAGTTAGTGTGGATGCCATCAGTTTGTTCAATTCTAAATTTTTACTTGCAAAATTGAGTCTATTTGTATTTGGTGCCACTTTTGCTGAATTGCATTGGCAATTTATTAGCATATGTAGCTGCTTCATTCGTGAATAGTGTTTGTCGGTTGTAAACTTGCGCGGCTGAGTGGATAGTGAGTGAGACTCAAAAATTTCTTTATTGCAGTAGGTCGCAGATTGGAATCCTACACGTAGCCGAGTTTTGCAAATTCGAGGCTTATTTCTACTTTTTTTGGTCTTGTTCTCGCAATTGTTTGTGAAGCGCAGCTCAGGCTCTGTCCTTCATACATAAAACTACCTTAAACATTTTTCTGTAAAAAGTAGGTAATTCACCTAGATTTACCTTAAAATACAAAAGTTCTGAAGTGTTACAAAATACAAAAGTTCTGAAATTAACCTGAAGTTTTATGGTAAAAAAAGTCTTAAAAGTGAAAAGAATTAAGGTTATTTTACCTCAACAATTCCGATAACAATAATATCCCAGGTTTTTACCTGAATTTTTTATTTTTATTGGGAAAATTTTAAGTAAATATATTTCAATGCTAAAGTAAGTATAGGCAAATTTCTTACTTTTAAGATAATTTAAGGTAAAATTTTAAGGTGGTTATAGGTATGTTGAAGTGCACACAAAGTAGTGCAAATTTACTCTAATTTTATGATTAGTTTAAAGGTGAGAGTACCTGAAGTTTTGAGGTACTGTAAGGTAATATTTTTGACTGGTTTTTGAGCGCATAAATGAAAGACTGTTTTCGTTTTTTTGTTGGATGAAAACTGTTTGCATCTAAAACTAGAACAGGAAACAAACAAGTTTTTTCTCCATTTACTTTCTATTGGGGCTCATGATTGCGGCTGGTTGCAAAAGCCACAACCTATCAAACTTTGCGACGATACTCATAGGAAAAAATATGAATGCAGTTAGAAATGTGAATCCTTTGATTCCGAAATAGTTTTAATAAGGATATGTCAGCTCATGTCCTACACTTGATCCCCATATACGAAAATATGAAAGGCTCGTAAAAAGTTTCAGTAACGCTTCATAGCAAATAAACACCAAATTTTTTTTTACTGATGGAATTAATATCACCAAGTTGCTAGCGTCAACAGCAGAAAGTTGTTCCAAAAGCGAAATATATTTGTACCACAATAAGAGCAACCCGATAAATTGCAGATCCACAATAATTCAAAAAATTAAACTATTGAATCCACAACATGCAGTGGCTCTGATTTACATGTTGGTCCAAAACAATCAACGCCAAATCAGAGCTACAAATTAATTTGACCTAACAACAATTCTTGAAACCTTGTGATGCCATAAAACATTTTGCTTATTCAACAATATATCTTTGTTATATATAGGGCTTGACGATAAATCTGAATTAAAAAGAACTACGTTGTTCAAAAAACGATGAGCCGAAAACATGCAGTGACTCAACTGAAAAAAAAACAATTATTTAAATCTAGTTATACTTTTAAGAATTACCAAACTGGAAGAATATATTTTAGCAAAGTTAACAAAGTAAAACATTTTCGATTGCTGTTTGACAAGGTTTTAATCCCCTTAACGGGATCATCCCATCCCCAGCAGGGAGGAAGCAACATACTTATTAGAGCAACTTCCGACACATTTAAGAAAACTGTAAGGCCCTAAAAAGTTCAATTTCAAATAAGCAAGCGAGTGAGTGCAATAGATGAGTGTTTCCGGTTAGAGTAAGAGACCAGAGATCCGGTTTAAACTACACAACTCAAATATAGTAAAATTATAAACGGAAGATGATCCACCCGAAGATTTCGAACTTCAGTTGTTTATTTATACTAACAAAGCTAGTAGCTATTCAAATCATGGTTATGGATCAACCCTGACTGAAAGTCAACCCGAAAAGAATTCAACTCCAAACCAGAGTCAATATTTGAGCCATTAACTTTTGACAGATTTGAGAAAACCATAAGGCCATGAAAAGAAGTTAAATTTGAAATAAGTAAGCTTGGTTAGTTGAGGGCTTTACGATTTAAGTCAATGACGAAGCTATTAAGTATGAAACATGGATTAGCTTGAACAACATTGCCATCGTACTTTAAACGGAATCATGCGCATGTTGTTCATGCAAATAGTTGTTTCATACTTCAGTGAGCTTCGTAAACTGAGGGCTCAACGATTAACTTCAATCGCAAAACTGTTGTTTCAAACTAAATTTCTTTTTATGACCTTACGGTTTTAGAGCAGCTGAAGGCTTTTCAAGGTCACGCCGCGCGAATTTCAAAATAGATTCAAGACTTAGCGGCGCGATTTAAAAACGTTTGCAGTGCGACCTATGAAGACTTGAGCAGCGCGACATAGGACTTCAGCGGCACGACTTAAGAACAGACCTTAGTGGCGTAACCTAAAAAAGCATTAGTGATTCGACCTAAAAATTAGAATTTAGCGCCGCGGCTCAAAAGACTATATCGGCGCACTTTAAAGCCTTTTCGCGGCGTGACTAAAGAAAAAAAATTTGCGGCGTGACCTCAGAAAAGACATTAGTGGCGCGACCTTAGACTTTGGTCGTGTGACTTAGTTGGACAATTTTAACGGCGCGACTCGAAACTTAAGTGGTGCGCTTTAAAGCACGACTCAAGACTCTTGCGGTGCGAAAAAACTCAAGGCATTTCAAAGCTCTACAATAAGTTTCTTCATCGCTCGTTTCTCAAAAAAATCTGTTTCCAAATTGAGAGTCTAAGCAGGTTAAGGAGTTACAATGATTGAGTATTAAGTCTTTGTCTCAACAGAACTGGAGTAAAAAAAGAAGAGCAGATTGAGAAAATAGTTAGCTTTGAAGTTTGAAAGTTCGGCATCAGGCGGTGGTTGTCGTCCATGCTCTACATTTTCACGAGGCGCTTTTATCAACGTTAGACGACGATCAAACTCATTTCTTTGAATTTTCGTCATCCTTTTCAACTGTCTAGAAAACAAACTTGAATGTTCTGCAAGACGACTACGATGCAAATAGTCGAGAGGAGTACTTCTGCCGCGAACTCAAACTACATTAACAGTTTCGGACGTTGTACCAAAATCCTTTCAGCTTCTGAAACGTGGAGTTCGTGACCAGCTGGATCTCGGTTGGTCTTTTTAATCCGATGGAGAGCGTCGTCAATTTAACATATTGTAGGTAGTAAGCATGCGATGATCTCTTTGTTTCCCCAGAATTGTTATGTTACACACTTGACATCCATAAAAACTGTTACGCGGCAGCATTTTAAGGACATGGGGTTTTGCTAGAAGACCAGCAATTATATGGTTGATTTTGATTTTTAGGAAAATCCCGGCAATTGGCTCATCGCTAAACAAACAAGCCGCATTTGATGGCTAAAACTTGAGTTTACGAAAGTTGCACCATCGGCGGATAGTACCAAATCTATACAAAGCTCGTCTTTTTCGCCTGTGAAGCTTAAAAGTTCTAGTGGAGGATCAAACACCTGTGACTCGCATAGGTTGTTATTAGAATGTGAAATGCTGCAGATGTTTCTCTGAATGATATCTTTCAATATGGTTGATACTTAAAGAACACAAATTCCTCCGTTTTCTTTATGGATGATCTTAATAACCATGGCATTGAGGTATTTCTTGGCAGTCTTATAGGCAGTGCGCAGAAAATTAGGGCCAAAAACGACGGATTTCAATAAGTTCACTAAGTCAGATTGACACACATTGATCAACTTATGCTTGTTAGAAATTGACCTTATCAACAAATGTGTGTTTTTGTAGGCAACGCGTCGATTGGGATACAGTGGCTGATAAGGTGATTGATTCTGAGAATAATCATTTTGAACTTCGCATTACTCATACTCTGGTTTGAATGAATCAAAAAATTCTTCGCAAGAAGGCAAGGCAGCATTTGGCAGTGGCGAGCCGATCAGCTGCCGTTTCAATGTGGTTCACCACTACATTATTCAGCATGAAAAATTTCAGTTGATGCTTTGGCATCAACAGTGTTATCTAAATTGCAGGACTCGGCAAAACTGATTCTTTTTTTGCCAAAGTAAATTAGGGCTCAGTTTCGGCGAAATCAAATATTTTTCAATAAGCTTTGGTACAAGCTGTTTTTTTTTCTTTCCAAGTCACTCGTTACCTTGGGTCGGTTGATTGGCTTCTATGATTTTCAGTTGCCACAGCATTGATATTACTAGTTTT